CAAATACTAGAGATCTGGTGGCCTAGTGGCAAGAAGATGTTCTGCAATCCCAAAGGTTTGCAGTTCAAGGTCACCAGTTGCATCACGGAAACAGGATGGGCAATCTCCTGCCGTTCATCTCTGAAAACCACTGGAGGGTCGGCAATTAGGTCAGTTGCCACTATGGTATGCAACAGCAGCAACAGAGGTATAAAAGATACACACATTTTGTTGCTATTGTTTGTTACTTGTTGTCAGGAGGGACTCAAGCCATACTTGACCCTCCAGCGCATTTCTGGAGGTTGTAAATCAGACGAGAGGAGATAGCCCATGTTTCTCCCTAGCAGCACCTTATGGATTTTAACTGCCTGACTTTGAGTTGGCAACATAACTCCTTATCCACTTTGTTGTTAAGTGCCATGGAGTACAACTCATACTGACCTTGTGAACAACAGTTCAAACAACTTTAAACACTCTAATTTTCTCCTTTCACATCATTTCCCCAAGACTCTTAAAGAAATGGCTGGCCATTATTTATTTAGCCTAAGAATGATATTTTACAATAAATGTCCAAAGGCTGATTCAGTAAGTTTCCTAAACGGTTGATGGTGAAACACAGGAAAGGAGTCAAATAATGTAAAGGAGTAACAAGTGTATTCATTTAGAAGCTGGTTTGGTAACTGTTAAAGTGCTTTTTAATCTAGAGTTTTCTGGCCAAAATTCTCTTCCAAAGGGTTTTCCTAATGTGCACTCAGGACAGATTCTTTTGTATGTTTCAATGGGATTCTTTAAAGTAAACAATTCAAACTACATAGTGACTTTAAATGATAAACTTTTATTCTGAATATACTGTTTTTGCACGAGAATCAACACAACATTTTCTGGGATTATAAATATTTTTTATAACAGTATTATACAAATTTTTACAAAATTTTCTTTTTAATCAGGCTAGTTAATTTCCACAAAAGTGTCAAGAAAACATAATAATGGGGAGAAAGGATCTATTGTTCACAAAAGCCACTTGGTCTTTTGCATGGATGCACACTGAGCAATTCAATAAAATATTCCCAAAAGCATGATCCAACAATCACACGACAGAACAAAAAAGACAGTTTGTCAGGTCACACCGTGAATTCAATTGGCATCTATTCAAGACAGTATCCCATTAATCTCAGTGAAATTTCTTTGAGACAATTAGTTGCACTAGAAATAAAGTATGTGAAACTGTTGGTAAGAGTGCTCTAATTCTTTGAAACTTTGCACTTTTTATATACTCTATACTTTCGTTTATAGATTTGCTCTTTACAGATATGTACACTGAATATTAACAATATCAACATTCTACTAGGGGAAAATCACAGAAGTTCCAGGTAATAAAAGATTTGAAATTTTGGGCAAAGGAAATACCCCTCCTAGACATTAAAAAGGTCACAACATTCCATTTTGTTTCAATTAATCCAACTTTCTACCTCTAGAAACTGTAATGTCAACTGACATGATAGATGGAATAGTTTGAGAGTTTTTAATTAAGACATAGGAATTAAGCTTTGGTGGAGACAGACAGATATTGAAAGATGTAAAATACAAGAGAGCATCAAATAAGCAAGTAACACTTGGGTTGCAAAGGTCACTTAAAAAGGGATACTGCCTATTTGAACCCAGTAAGGCCAGTTTTAAAGTTAATAAAAGGAATATTATAGGAAAACTTACAAATGGCAGCAACACTGTTTTGTTTTTTCCAAGTTAAGCAATAACTCTTCAAACATTAGAAACATGAAAAAAGATCATACTAAAATCTTATAGGCCCAGGGCCTAGAAATCTCTTCAATCAAACTTGCTAACTATGTCATGTTAAAAATCTGTTACAAATATGGACCACGATTGGTGTTTGGCAGTAATGCTGGTTGTTCAAATGGAGAAAATGGAAAGAAACTATTAATGCAAAGTTCCTTCATGTTACTCAACACCAATGTATGATTTATTTTGGTTTTGTTTTGGTGACAAAATGAGCTTAAGCTTGAGTCTGGCAAGAATGGGATCAATGAAAACCTTTAGAAAGCTTTTCTTGATCTCATGTACACTGTTGTCTTTGGAAGTCAATAACAAGTTATAATTAAATTTCTTGTGAGGAAATTCTCAAGTTTAATGTAAAAATTTAATTGGGTAAGTGCTAACTCTCTTAAAACAAAGAAGGCCAAAAGCATGGAAACTGGTATAAATTGTGAGGATAATTTTTGGTCAGAAAGCATGTACTTATCCAATTTATTACTTTGTATGTGGTTGTTATAATATGTAACTTCTATTTATAACATAAAATAAATGCTTATAGAAAGACTTAATATATTATATTTAGATGGCAAAAGAAATAGGACCCTGCCAAGAGATGCCAGTTTAACTGTGACAAAACAATAGTAATATCATTGATGAAAACATACTTTACCAGTAACATCAGCCATGAAAATATATTTAATAAATTTTAAACATAATTTTAAGGTAGTATGTTGTATGCTGGAAGCAATTTGATTGTTGTAATGAGTGTCATTTATATATACATACATAAATTTATCTTTTAATATTCCTTTCCCAACACTTTCATAATTTAAAATAGGCTAGCAAAAGTTAACAATAAGTTTTAAATATTTAATTAACAAACAACATGATTTAAACATATTGTTATTAGAGTGAGAAATTCTATTTATTTTTAAATCACTTTGGTGTTTTCTAAAATGTCAATACTAGTTATAAATGAGACTACAAAAATCACAACGTGTTAGAAATGGTAACTGATGTCAACTCTTAGAATGATAGTTGGCAAAGAGATTCCATTTCTCCCTCCCCCATTTTTTAAATAAAAAAATATTTTAAATAAGGAAATGTACACAAATGGCACCTAGGGTATACTGGTAGTGGGAGGAATTACAAATGTATGTAAAGCTAAAAAGAAAACAAATAGATCTTTGAAACTATGTGAAATAATTAGTTATATCTTTGATATGTAGATCATATTCAAGCATGCTGGATACAGTTAATAAGATTTTTAACTTAGAAATTATATTTAAGAAAATTTCCAGCATATACACACACCAATAGTTGGCATGTTAAAAAAAAAGGAACATATGCATTGTACCATAAAAAATATCTGCACAATTCCAGCCTTCAGCAAAATTAGTCATTATTACCAGTTACATATTCCTTAGTTTTAGTCTTTCCTCAAATACTATTTACTCCTGAAAATAAATTTTAAGAGCATAAATAATATTTTGCTATCATATTATTCTACAATGAAATATTTGATTTACTACACTAATCATTTTCACCAGTGAGGCTGTATAAAAACAATTTTTATTATTCACAATCAAGTATTCATGTGCATACATATAGATTCAAGGTTTCCTATTTGTTCAGATTATTGTAAAACCATCATCAAACTGCATGGGAATTTTGGTCAAGTGACCAGACCATTTTAAATAGAGGGACAAAAGCAACAACAGCAGCAGGAATTTTTGGATTAAATGTGCTACTATACCAATGAACAAAGAGGAAACCTAGGATGAATCTTCACTGAGAACATATATGTACTTTTCAAAAAAATAAATGTGTCAAATCTGATTTATGTACTTAAAATATCTGTACATAGGTTTTCAGGCAAAAGCACGAATCTGTATAAAATCCATTAATTCCCATTTCACTGTTTACCTAACCCAGTTATCCAGCATTTACATTGCACAGTATATTCAGAGTAGTTTAACAACATTTTAAAAGATGACTTAAGTGCAGTATACTTCAAAGTTCAGATTCTTACATAACAATAATATCACTCAGGTAACTTTTCAATGGACTATACTCTACAGTAAGAGAAAAACAAATCAAAAAGTTAAAATAGCAGCAGCATCATGCAAAATACCCTTGGTAACCAAAATTCATTTATCACAAGAAAAAACATTGTCCCTCCCCCCACAACAAGCTTTTCTTAGAGCATTTTGAAGTATCTGGCTAGCACTACATGACTGTACTGTGAATGAAGGAAACATTACATTGAAGCATTGAATAAGGGCTTACAATTATGAGGAACGATGCCACATACTCAAAGTTCACCATCAAGCACCTTGAGTTTGATATTTCTTAGTTCTTTTCAAACTATCAATTCCTTATGCTGGAGCTTAATTAGTCATCAATAGAGTTACTTTTTTTTTGGCAGAGAAGCCATTCTACATAAGGCATTTTATTTGTGGCAAATTTTGTAAAAAAATTTAGCCATTATTTATCAAGAGTTCCGACTAATATTATTTTTCTATCTCCCCTTTGATATATATTTTCCAGTTACAACTATTCAAGGCTGTAATCATTTTTAATAGAAGACTATGTCTGGGCAAAAAAAACCTCCCTTTATCCCTCCTAGGAGATCTTAATGGTAGTAAAAAGAACAAGGACTGCAGCAAGTCAACATTCCAGGTCACACTCAAGACAATTCTTATGATTCATAAACAATTTTACATGGGGAGCCCTTTTACATGAAATCACCAACAATGCAACAGTAAATTTTCAAATTTTCCAGTAGAGCACAAATAGAATTTTGCTTTGATGTTATACATAGATGATGCAGCATTCACACAAGTTTAAGGATCTGACACCCTGACATGCAGCCAATGGGTGGCTTATAAGTCTGTGCCTTAGTTATGCCATGGTATGGGCCTGGTTACAAGGAGTCTTGGTGGTATAGTGGTTAAGCGTTTGGCTGCAAACCAAAAGGTTGGCAGTTAGAACCCACCAGCCACTCCATGGGAGAAAGATGTGGCAGTCTGCTTCCATAAAGACTGGTAGCCTTGGAAACCCTCTTGGCAGTTTACTCTGCCTGATAGGCTCACTGAGTCAGAACTGACTTGACAGCAATGAGTTTGGTTCTTTAGATGGGCCCAGCTAATGTTCTGCTGATTTGATGGTTGATCCTATTGTAATGCAATTGAGGGCTCATGTTTTGGCAGGGTTTGGAGTTTAAATATGCAGATTTTGGTTTTAGAAGGTCATAACTGGCAGTGTCTATTGCCAGAAACCAGCCAAAGCAGTACACACTGGATTCCAATGATAGACCATAAGGAGGGATTCAGTTCAGAAACGCCACCACAGTCAGTATAATCCTCCTGTTGAGAAGGAAATGAAGAATAAAGACATTGAAAATTATTTCGTGCACAGTTTCAGGACACTCGATGTTTCTGCAGTTCTGAACTCACCTTACAACACTGCTTTAACTTGAATTAAAATAAAAGGAATTTTAGACTTTACTGTTTAGCAGTTTTGGATAGGGTAATTTCCCTACAAGTACCTGAATGCATTGGAGCTTAATTTTAATTCCAATGCTTATGAAAGAAAATACTCAATAATGAATACTGTTTTGAGCAATACATCAAATGCTTAAATAGAAAGTTTCATAGTATAAAAAGATTCCTGTGGATTTTTTTTAAATGTAATATGTAAAAAAATATAATAGAATGTTTTATAATTCCCAAGATATTTTATTTTGGAAAAATATGTTCTGAAAAGAAATACTTGGACTGGTAAAACAGAGTTAATAAATAAACTCTTACTCCTCATATACCTTATATATAGATTTTATTGTACATGTGTGCTAGGTATATGTAGCAGTTAGATTTTCATCTAAAATTTAGAAAAGAAATAATTATTTAAACAACAACAAAGACACTCAGAAAACATACATCCAAGATGAAGAACTAAGCTGAAAATAGTGATATGCTTAGAAAGCCATGAAATATAAGCAATGCTTATACTCACTTGGTTTCCTCACTCTGACAGTGACTCAAAGGAGTTTCCTGTTGAAGTGCCTTCTTTTTCCTTTCTACTAGTCCTATATTCTATAACATTTCCCATATCATTTTTTCCCTTTTAAAGTATTTAATTGCATTAAAAACCAACTCTCATATTTAAGCATCACTATTTTAAGAATTCAAGAATCATTTTGCATGTATCAAAATAATAGCCTACACAAGACAGGGTATCCTCTTGCATTTTTATAACTCCAAGCATCCAGAGAATAAGAATTAAGACTTTTGTTATTCACCAGGATTCAATCCAGTACCTGTCACATACTAAAGGAAAGTGTTTTACTGAATGTTAATTTAATGCTGAAGAAAGCTTTGTGATTGCTAAAGTGGGAGCTTGTGAGGAAAGATTCAAGCTGGGAAAAGGTCATAAAATCATGTCAATTTTTAGTCTTCATCCTACTTGCCCTTTCAGGAGCATATAGTACTATGAGTTACTGTTTAGTATTTCCTCTTTCTTGAAATACTATCTTGTCTTTCACTAGTAAACGAGACTGTCTTTCTTTCAAACTTACTTTCATTCTATCTTCCTATCCTTGACTTGCATCCTCCTCTTTACTCCATGTAAATGTTAGCATCCCTCCTGCCCCCAGTGACTTGGATGTACAGTAGAGGATAGATAAGTTTCAGATCTGTTCACAGAGCTGCTGAGTCATAGTTGACTTGATGGCACCTAGCAAGAGTTTTCTGTCCTATTCTCGTAAGTTTTCTCCATAGATCATCTGACACAAGTTTATGTCTTTAAATTCCATTTATTTGTTACACTTTAATCTCTCCATGTTAATACATCTACTGATCCTCACCTCTTCCCCTCTAAATGTCTCACAGTGATCTAAACATATACTCTTCTAAATATCAGTAAATAGAACTCTTAGGTGTTAGGAGTGTCAGAAACTGGACCAAAGACTGCACATCATATGTAACTCATTTATTTTTAAAATTTAATCCATCAGCATGTCCTTTTAAATTTGGCTTCAAATTACAATCTCACACCTACTTCTTCTCATCATCTTAGGTCCAACCATCTCCTTTTGCCAAAATTCTCCTGAAAGCTGCCTCATTTACTTCAATGTTTCTTTGGTTGCCCTTTAAGTAATATTCCACAAAAAGGTGTCAGAGAAATCATATTGAAATAATAAATCAGACCCTGGCAATTCCTGCCTGAAGTTTCACATCAGTCTCAGAACAAAGCTGGAATTCCTTTCCAAGGTCTCTAATGTTTATGTGGTCTGGAACCTGACTGTTTCTCAGTTTTCTTCTCCCCACAAATACCTTCACCCATTCCCCCTCTCTCAGCTCCCTAAATACTCACTTTCTTTTGCAACAAGCCACGTGTTTCTTATCTGAGGGCCTTCTCTTTTTTATTATTATATCTAGGGTGAGCAGATAACTTACTGTCCAAATAAGGGTAGTTTTGAGAGTGAAAGCTATTCAATTTTTCTGGAACAAAAAACATAAAATGAGACTTTTCCAGACTCTCTCTCACCCAGAGAAAAATGGCCTTAGATGTCATAAGTATACAGAAGTATTTGATAAACAAACAGAAGGCACTCAATAAATCCACATACACAGCAGTTAGACCTTATTTGTAAAATATTACTTAAAAGGCATAAATCTCATTTAAATGGAGCACTTTGAAAATTATCACACAATCGATACCCCTTCACATGTTTATACTTTATTTATGCATTAGAATGCATTTTGTCCAAGAAATTCTTAATTATGCTGACAGTCCGCAAGTTTAGAATAGAAATAAAAATCGTTTCCCTGGCTCTCACTACATTGTTTTAATCTTAATAATTTTGGGGGCTTCACCCTTTATTTTGTTCCATTTCTTCTGTGTGATGATGATATGTGTCTACTGATATTTGGGAAGTGGTAATTCATATAAATTCTTTGCAATCTTGGTGGTCTTCACATTGAAAACTCTTCTTGTTTATTTGCCTGATCTTGTTTTCGATGAATTTTGCATGATACAAAAATTTAGACTAAGACTAGAAATTAATACATGAAGATGAGTTATAAAAAAATAGTCTAAAAATACTCTACATCATAAATGAATAGGTGGAGGAGAAACTATAACATGTTCATCTATTGCGAGAGAAAGTCTATTGTAACTATAACAGAACAGTACAGATTACTCTCAGAAAATAATAGTAGCATGTTTCACTTCAATACATTAAAACAGAAAAAGGATATGGATAACTGTTTTTTATACATTACTGTTAAATGTAATCAAGTTAAGTATGACTCCTAGTGACTGCCTAGAGAGCATATAGGACATCGGGGCACAAGATTGTGAGTGTCTCTCTGAAAGGGCCACCAGATCTGAGAACAGCACAGCCCCTCAGCATCCCAGGGCAGAAAGCAAAGAGCCCTTGGCCCAGCTCCGTGGTTCCTCTAGAGCCACGTCAGCAGCAAGAGGTTCGGTTATTAATTGTCAACTCACAGACTGTAGTGCAGAGAGTGAGGTTTATTGGGGAACTAAGTTGGAGGGTGAGGGAGGCAAAGAATATCTATCACCCAATGTAAGTCCAGTTTAAGTCCAGCAATGCCAAGGTACAATTACTCAATTAGTCCACGTTCTGGTTTCAATTCAGCAGTCAGCTTTTCCTTCCATCATCCACCAAGAACAGCAAAAGTTTGAACTGTGGCCTTTATCTCAGGATTCCTCTGGCTACACCTTGCCACAGTTTCTTCACAGCAACACAGCAGTCTCTTCACCATCATTTCCACGGTCTCGCTTTAACGAGAGTCTTGCTCTAGTCTTCCTCAAGGCTTGCTTCTCGGTAAAGAAAGCACGCTTTCTCTTATCCTAGTCTCACAGCTATTGATGATTTGCAAGCCCATCTGTCTATAGTTAATGTAGCTAGAGATCGGAGGGGGTTAATGTAATAGCTAGAAAAGCCAACTTTTAAGCTAACACTGCAGTGACCCTTTGAAAAATGGATCTGAACAGGATAACTGTGACATCTTCACAATCTTTGACACTCTTTTTTTATTATTATTATTAAATGTTATTAGTTTTAAATCTTTGACACTCTTGACCTCACTGCTGCAGTCACTGTGTCAATCCACCTATTTGAGTATATATGTATAAATGAGTACATATGCTCTGGTGGTCTAGTGGTAGGAAGTAGTGCTGCAATACCAAAAGCACGAGGTTTAAATCCACCACCAGCTGCTCTGCAGGAGGTGGACAGGCAGAGTCGGCTTTGAGTTGACTCCAACTTGATGACACAAAATAATATATATCTTCTTCTTCCTCCTTTCTTGTTGCTGTTGAGTCAGAACTGACTTATAGCTGGCTCTTCAGTGGATTTTGGAGGCTGAATGCCTATTTTTCTTTCAGGGACGTGGTGGATTTGAACAATCAGGGAGGCATTGCCTTTATTAGCAGTACAACTACCTATGCACTCACCACTATCTCAAAACCAAACAACAACACACCAAACAAAAAGCTTCATTGCTGGCTGAGTGGGAAGCAAGCCACAGCTGGTCCTCCAGCAGATTATCACATGCTGCACACCTTTCACAAGAGGAAACTGCCCATCTTCCTTCTAAGAACAGCTTGTAGATTTGAATTGCTTGTCTTTGAATTGGCAATAAAACTCTTCACCCACTAGGTCTTCAAAGCACCCTAACAAAAAACTATTCTCTAATAGCTAGGTGGAAAGATGATTATTTTGTTATAAATTGTTGGTCTGCTTTATTTTTATTTATTTTGTCTGAGTTATAAATAAACATTAAATGTGTTATTTTTATTCTTTACTACTAATCTTCAGATAAAAATGTTCCTGTCAGTGTTTCATTTGAGCCCTTATGTTTCAAGAGAACTTCTTTTTCTTATCATATCGCAATTGTGTCTATAATCTATGTATTTTTTCGGACTTAGGTTGTATTCTTTAGAAAATGTTAGTGGTTTTCCCACCATTTTGGCTTTCCTGTCAGCAGATGCTAATTCACAGCAAATTTCCATTTATAAACTAACAGTGACGTTTATACTCTGAACTTTATTTGTCCTCAATACAGAGAACACAGTCCACTAATCTCTCATGATATTTCTTTGGGATATTGCATTATTTTTTTTCAACTTTGTATTGTTTCAGTGAAAAGGATACTTCCTTTGATATCATCATATCAAAATTCAAATTGCAGAGAATGGTTTCGCTGTTTCATACTGATAACAATGTTTTGAAGATTCAGCTCATGTTTCTTTTGCTTATGTAAAGGGAATAGATCATCTTCTTTTTCTTCTCAAAATTAATTATGTCTTTCCTAGAGACTTAATATCAAGTAATCTTATTAATTTCATTATTCTATTTTCATCTTCTCCATATAATTTTATACCAACACATGTCACAGACAGTTGAGGCCATAATTTTATTTATTTTCATGGATAATCTATAAATATGTTGAAAAATAAAAATACATTAATGGAAACATGCAAAGTTCTAATTGGAGGGGTTCTTAGGGGAAACTATTTTAAAAATTTATTGTTTCCTATATATTTTTAAAACAATAGGGAGAGACAGTAGATTCATTAAAAACAAGTTTCATAAAAAAAATTTTAAAAAAACAAAAAAAACCCAAGTTTCATTAAGATATCAGTGTCTGATAGTCTAAAATGATTATCTAAAAATAATGTATAATTAAGTAGACTTTTGAATAAAAAAGAGATACAATGAAATATTACTGCCTTCCTCTCCTAGAGTATTATAGATATGCATACACATACACACACTCTTTTACTCTAGTTTAATCATTTCTATTATGACTATAAATAGGAAATCGGTGGGAAAAAGGTCCCATTACACTTTTCACATACAAGTAATGTGTCAGTAAAATATTTCAAATAGTTACCTATGTATCAATGTACATATTATGTCCTTGACCTTTTCTTTCAATTATTAAAATCAGCTAGGTTTATCTCATTGGAAAGCTTTTGCTATACTTTTCATGGTCTCAGAACAAATGAGGCTATTTTCTGAGACCCAGTCTCCTATACCATTTATTCTCCTCTGATGGGCTCATTCTAGTCATAGTAATGGACATATCTCCATCTAGTGGTTTTCCAATCAATAAATACCTGAACCGCAATGAAAAGCACACCAAAAACTGTTCTAATAACAACACTAAAGTTTATTTCAGAGCATCAGAAAAGAAAACGAAAAAATGTAAATGGAACACCAAACAAAAATCAGATAAAAAAATCTCTCTAGTATATTGATTATATAAATCAGAAATTGGTCAAAATGGTTAAGTAGGACTTTCGGCCTACATAAAGTGTGAGAAAAAAATTACCTATCTGCTCTGGCAAAGATTACATCCTAGAAAACCCCATGGGGCATCTGAGAAATAATGGTTATTACGATTTGAAAGAGACTTGATGGCACCTAACAGAATAATTTAAGTAATATTAAAGAAACTGTCCTTATAAATTTGACACATTAACATAAAAACATTTCCATAACAATACTAATATTTTAGGAGAAAAGATCTAAAATTTTTAAATTAATTTGTTTAGAGAAAGAAAAATAGAATGGATGACTTAGAAGTCCTTAGGTAATGCTTGATAAAATTGAAATGATCCATTGATTTGTCATCATTCTATGAAAAATTATATTTGTTTCATTCCTCTAAGTTAAAGAAAATATCAAGCATGTATTTTTTATAGGCATAAACAATCTTTATTCAAAAGCAGTATCATGATTGTATAAAAATATTGAAAATTGAAATTTTCTGTTTAGGACTAGAAATGTTGATTTTTTTTGACATCAGCCATTTAAAAAATACTTGTACGAGGATTTTAATAAGTTTTAGAATAATTAATATTGTGGATTTGGGGATATGGATTATTTTCTAAAATATCAAGCCAAAAAATGAAAACAAAGAAAAATTAGAGAAAGTGACTGACCATCCACACCACATGAAAACTTGCAGTAAAATGAAGATAGGAGCTGACATCATGGTACAGGCACGACTCGCTGTGCATATAAGTTGATCCTATTAATAACGGGCAAAGTAGCAAGACAGGAAAAGGAAAGAAAACACAGAAAAGAAGACATACAAGATGAGATTTCATGCAATTTGCTGGCAGTTAGCAGTTAATGTGAGCCTTCATCCAAAGCAGATTCACAGTGACCATTGCAAATAAGCATTATCAAAATATTCCACTGCTAAAGAAACACAACACATCATTAGCACACCAAGCTACTGAGCAAGAGTTGTACTTTCACACCCAATTCCCTATATAATTAACTTAGAGAAACTGGAATTTTTGGATTTTTTGTCTTAGTCAAATATTTTAATGCCTTCTAAAACACTATTATTCCAGGAGAAGGGTATTTTGGGTACTATGTTTTATAACATTTTAAAGATCCATCTGAACAAATTTAATTCAACCTTTATATTGCTGAAAACTGATAACAGATAGCTGATTGCTGGATTCACTTATGAGCTGTAATGCTCCTTGGGTCCATCTATAACATTCTTCAGATTATCTGCCATGAGCAAAGTTCATGAAGATATAGTAGACAGACAAGGATACACCACATCTAGATTTTACTGATGTTTGGCTTAATTAAAAAAAAAGAAAATTACCTAGCTCAAACTTTGGATCACTTTATACAGAATGAAATATAAGCAAATAGACTCAGAGATAACTACTGTGTACTAGCCTTTTGCTCCCCGCCACTATAATTCTTCTTTTTTTTTTTTTTTTACCACTATAATGCTAGCTCTTCTTGGTCCATCTCTAATTCACATTGTTGTTACTGCTATCAGAACCTACTCTAAGACACCCTCCAGGGGGTTTTCAGAGGCTGTAAATTGCACAGAAAGAGACTGTCCATCTTTCTTCTGCAAAGTAGCTGCAAAGATTTGAACCACTTGCCTTTGGGTGGGCAGCACAACTCCTTACCACTAAGCCACCACAGCTCCATTAATTTATATCATTTGATTATATAATATGTACCTGAGGAAGTGCCTTTTCTCTTCTGGGACAAATGTGGCTTTTATCTCAGTAAATAAGAACATTATGAGGAAATCTCTTAGGAAAAAGTTTTAAAATCTTTAAAAATATACAATAACAATAATAATAAAACCCCTCTGATCTTTGTTAAAGGGAGAATAATGACTGTCTTTACATAACTCTAACAAGCTGTTTGGCTTCTGAGGCAGGTTAAAGTAGTTGCTCATCAGACCCCACCTCCAAGACTTGAGGTGGGAGTACGTTCACTTATAGTGATCACTAGGATCCACAGGAGGGGAAATGGAAGGAACACGACAAAACAGAAACAGGCTGAACTTTGACGTGTTCCTTCAGCGCTGCCCACCTCGCATGCAAAGATGCAGGATGAGCGGTGAAGGGTTGCTGGCTTGAGCAGCAGGGAGTTGTAAGGACCCTTGACCTGCTGACTTGACTTGGCCCCATGTGGGCAATGGGACTGAGTGAGGAAGTCTAGAACACGGGAGTGCTTCAGAGAATCCCGAACTTGTAACTGATGTCCATTTAAACCCAGGCGCAGACATTCCGGGGATTAGCTGACCAGAAGAACCCAATCAGATGAAGAGAAGATGATCCACGCTGTGAATGAGGGTTGACTGCTACAGCCTGATGGCTAGCTCTGAGATGCACTTTGCTTATGGACGCAGATACTCAAAGTTTTCAAATTGAACAGAGGTTCCTTCAGCAAAAAGGACGTCTTCTAAGAGTACTGGTTTGATAGGGATGGAAAATCAGAAATTGGCTATCTATCTAAACTGCATTTAATAAGGCATAAGGCATGAAGTAGCTGGCTTACAGATGTTCTGAAAGTAGTTGTTGGTGGGATGACGATAAAGGAGAGCAAAGACCCCACAATATAAATGAACAAAATATAATGTAAATGAAGGACTGTATAGAGCACAATGCACTTGCATGAAATACAATGTATAATGGATGATAAAAAATGAATAATGCTCTATATTTGGATGGTTATTGGTGTCTGGAATTCATTCAAAGTAAATATACATCTTAAAGAACTGGAGAACTGGGAGATATATTTAAAATTCCTTTAAAAAATTTATATAAACCTCTATGTGAGCTTCTCTTTTGAGACTAAATTAAAGTTTCTTAATAATAAAAATAAATTTAAAAGCATAAATGGTTACATACACAGTAAATCAGCATAGTGATTATTATGGAAAGATAGCTAATTTATGGGAAATAATGGTTATTTTTTTATTAATGCACACTAAATGTGACTTTTAGCATTTTATAAATTATTTTTAGAATTTACATGTTCTGATAATAAGTACTAGAAAAATATATAACTAAAAGAAAGAACACAAATAATATTGTCAGATAAAGAAACAAAGAATTTTTTAAAAAAGGAAACATTTTGTTGAAAAGGTTTTGAAACACATAGAATGAAGTTGAAACAAAATAACAAAGTAATAAAAATGAACTTCTATTTCATTATGATTAGGGACATAAGTGAAAGTATTAATGAAAATATCTCCAAATAAAATGCACTATTTTTGAAATTTGTTGGATTCACTGTCATTCTACAAGGTACCATTAGTCACTATAATGCTTTTAAATTATCACTTTTTTCTCTGAATTATTAATAGATTAATCAGAATTGGGTTTGAAAGTACAATTTCTGTGGGAAAGACAGATAAAAGAAGCAACCAGTAAATATATACTAACCATGAAAATCATCGAAATGGAATCTATCTCCCAGCAAGTACATCACATTAATGAGAAACACGATGGTTTAGATATTATGCTTAAATTAAAATTAGTCTTCTTAAATTCCTAAGAACAAGGATCACCATTCTACAGTATTCTGATTGCCCTATAGGAAGATTCATCTTACCAGGTTATTGTTATCGAAGCAGACATCAGGTCCTTTTCGGTATCTAGGCTGCTTTACCATATCACAAGGATTTGGACCATCAGCTAAAGTGATGTGTTAAGGATTATCAAGTTGTTTTTTTCCCTATAATATGAACAGAAACATATAAGAAGAGCTATATATTTCTTTTCAAAAGCAAGTAAGAGACACCTATCCATTACTTAAGTTCAACACAACCAGTTCAAGAACAAAGAAATTTAGAGAATTAAATGATCTTGAATTCTACCTTGTCAGATTAGAGGTCATGTGAAGAGGTTAACTGCTTTTCACCTTATTATTCATGACTTTGTACCTGGTACATAGCAGATAATCAATGATTATTTGTCGAATGTACAGAATGTAATGCAAATTAGGGTTTTCAGAGGCCTGCTATTTCAGAAGTGGATGGCCAGTCCTTCTTCCTAGTCTGTCTTACTCTGAATGTTCAGATTTAGAGAAGTATCTGACAGACGAGCATTTTACAGAAAAAGTGAAAGATATATCCCTTATTGTGGGGTTAACCATTAGGATCAGTTTTATCTCTGCCTTTGGCACAAGTGTCTTTACACACTAATTTCCCTGCTCCACCATCCACCAGGGTATCCCTCCACTTCTACCTCCTCCCTTCAACATCTCACACTGTCCAGCCCTTAATCTGATAGTTTATATTGGAAGCTTCCTTGGCTTCTGTGATTCCAAACAGGTCAGCTGCTGAGAGGGTCAAGGGCTGCAGCCATCAATATGGATTGAGGCTCAATGTCAAGAAGATAAAGGTCTCACCACTGGACCAACTGACAGCATCAGGAAGGATGGTGAAGAGATTGAGATTGTTCACAGCTTTAGTTTGCTTGGCTCCACAGTCAACACTCTTGCCAACAGCAGCCAGGAAAGTAAAAGATGTATTACGATGGGTATGTCTGCTGTTATGGGCCTCTCCAAAGTACTAAAGAGCAGTGGTGTCACACTGGAGACTAAGGTGTATCTGGTACAGGCCATGGTCTTTGCAATCACTTGTTATGTGTCAGAGAGTTGGACAATGACTAGGGAGGATAGAAGAATTGATGCCTTTGAGCTGTGGTGCTGGAGAAGAGTATTGAGGGTACCATGGACTGCTAGGAAAACAAACAGATTCATTCTGGAGAGGGTTAAACTGGGCTGCTACTTGGAGGCAAGGATTCTGAGGCTCCGTCTAACATACTTTGGACATGTTGTAAGGAGGCACCGGTCCTTGGAGAGGGACATCATGCTTGGAAGGGTGGAAGGACAGCGCAGGAGAGGAAGGCCCTCTATGAGGTAGATTGATTCAGTGACTGAGGTAATCGGGATGGGAGTGTCAGAGACAGTGCGACTGGCACAGGACAGAGCAGAGTTGCAAGCAACTTGACAGCACATAACAACAACAATAACAACAACAACACAGAATGTAAGTAACTGAAATGTACAATGATGAATATAGTAGAACATCAGAAATACGGAAAAGAAAAACTCAGTTCTACTTAGCTAAAATATCAACTAATTTCTAATGACTGTTTATACCAAATAGAGATGAAAATTATTTATCTTTTTTAATTTCAAAATAAATGCAAAGTTACAGACACTTCAAAGAAGTTCTGCTACTACTAATTCTTTAGTTACCACTAAAATGTGTATTTTAGGCTTTAGAGTCATTGCATTTAGGGTGACAAAAATAAATCTACATGCAAATGCTCAAAAGATAACATGTTAATGAAACTTTAAAATTTATTTGACTTGCTTTTTAAAACTCATTCCATTAATATGAATTGACTATTTTAACATCAATATCTAAAGTTAACTATTTTCAATTGTTAACAAAATTATACAGATTATATGTTATTGAGAGGCACTGTCATTTGAAAAATATGTCAGGGCATATACAAAAAAAAGAAAACTATAGTTTAACATAGCAGACTTTATACAATAAAGTGCTGGAATCCATTTTTGAGGTTTGATTATTGATATCTTTCAAGCCACTACTTTATTAACCTGTCTGCTCTCTCCTCTGACCCTACTGAGTAGTTGAAACCATGCAAATCCAGCCTTGGGCTTCATCTGTGGGGTCCTTTCGTGTGTGCGTGTGTGTGTGTGTGTGTGTGTGTGTGTGTGTGTGTGTAGCATCATCTATCATGACAGTTAGTAAAAATTTTGGGTGAAGGGGGTCTGCTCCATCTCTTCAAAGGGATGACAGTACCTTATGATATTTTTCCTCTTTTAAAACAGAATCAATATAACAAGGTTAATAATGCAACAGACTAAGGTGGCCTCCTTGCTCTTAACATCTCCCACGCCAAAGGATACAAGTCTGCTCCGCTTGTATTAGCAGTCGTGTGTCACATGGACATGTTCCTTTGCTCTCAACAATTATAAACACTAAGTTGGTGTTCATAAGCTTTTCTACATGAAAGATTCTGCAAAATGAATATTAAAAACATCACAGAGAATGAATACTGGCTCTTGGAAGCAAATAAAAGGTACTTACTTAAAAGACTCTTACATATTAAGTTGAAAGGCAAAATATGACATATTATAATACAAATGATTATCAATGCAATAATGCATCACAGTGAAAATTATTTTATGAGAAAAATAAGTATGCATCTATTATTTCTTCAAACATGGGGTAAAATTAGTAACAGAATATGTTCTTATACAGTTTGTTTTTGTTAGCTCTCACTACAAAGTAAGCATTATGTAGCTACTACAACTCAAAGATTTAGCTTTATTTTTGATGTATAATCAATAATAACAATGAACTATGATATATAACATTGAAAATATGCTACCTTTTGGCCTACTTTACAGATAAAGAAACCAGAAGCACAAAATACCTAAGCATCTTGCCCAAACTAATGTGAGACGAGTGCTGTTCAATGTATTTTCTATAAAGATGAAAGAACATTTTTGCTCTATTGAATCCTGCAGTCACTAAACCATGGACTACTAAGTGCTTGAAAGATGGTAAATATGACATATTTGCACTGTTAATTTAACCTGTTCATTTTATTTAACTTTATCTGAAATCGAAGTATTTTTTTAAGACCGTTGGCTACTGTATTAGACAAGTACAGGGAAGGACAGAACTAAGGATTTAAAATTTTCTCTACTGTAGTCCACAACTTAAGCTGCTTCTGTTTTCTTAAGTAATCAATATAAAGTTTAAATATGCCATTAAAATTATTTCTTCATGACCATATATTTGTCAAAGAAGTGAAATTTCATGTTAAGCCAGGGACATAAACATAAAACAAATCAGAAGAAAATATAATTCAATTTAACGTCTTCTCCCTTTCCAATCATCATCCAAATTATATTGTAGTCTCTGGCGTTAAATCTTTCTCAGCTGTCAGTACTGTGTAACTCAAACTCTTGAGTAAGTTATTTGAAAGAAATACTTCTTTAAACTAGAACTGAATCTGTAAAGGCAGGGTGAAAAAACATATACATATCCTCCATATTCATTCACCATAGAAGGAATTCAATGAGTATGGTGTGATTCAGTTTTAAATTTTACTAAGATAGACTTTTATTATACAAAACAGTATTTCCTCCTAGTTCCTACAGTCTTGAACAGCATGTTCCCACAAATTCTATAGGGAAACTTAGAGATAAAAGCAAACACATAATCACAAAATATCTTCCACTACATCTATTTAGCTACATATAAAAAGAAGTTGTGCTTAGAAATATTTAACATAAAATTACATAATATTAAAAAATTAGTACGAACTTTTTTAGGCAAAAAAAGATGTAATGATGTAATTAAAATTCTCTATATTCTACCTAAAATTGAAATAAAATTCCTTGACTATATAATTAGAATTTATCAGAATTAAAATTACATTTTAAAAATTGCCATATCTTAGTATTTTTCACAATAGCAAGAATATGGGAACAGCCCAAATGTCCATCAACAAATGAACACATTAAGAAACTGTGGTACATTCTTCACACAATGGAATATTATGCAACACTAAAGAATATAGATTTTGTAAAATACTGTATTATTTGGGAGAGTCTATAGTGCATTATGCTGCATGAACATACTCAGCTTCATAAAGACAAATAATGCCTAAGATCACTGTTGTAAAAAGAGAAGGATAACGAGTAAGATGTGGATAAATGTCCAAAGGGGAAAACAAGATGGAGATGGAAAGAGTGGAAAGGTGAAAGGCATTAGGATAGCAGAGTTTAGTGGATGGATTGAGGATTGGAGGTGGTAGTGGTCAAGAAATAGGAAAATTCAATTGGGAATTGAAAAGATGCAGTAATAATAGGCAAAGATCAATGGTAATTCATTAAATAAAATACAACGTGTATGAATGACTATGAAATAATATAAATGAAAGACTACATTAAAACACAATGTATATGAATGAAAAACAAGGTAAATGAATGTTTATATGAAAACCAATAAAATATTAAAAAATGCTCAATTTAAAACTTACATAGAAACAGAAGATTATCCATGTATCAAAACTACCCATAATAATGTTTCTTAGATTACAAGGACAAATGTCATTAATTTTTGCAGTGATTATAAAAGTCAATACAATACTCTAATGAAAAAGTACTCAAACTCAGGGCTATTGAATCAATTCCAATTATATAGCAACTTAGTACATAGCAACTTCAGGGTATCTGAAGCTGTAAATCTTTAAAGGAACAGCAACTGCTGATTTTAACCACTGACTTCATTGTCGGTTGCTTGACATGTTGCACACGACCTCTCCAGAGCTCCTTCCCATCAAATTCCATTGCTGATGCATTGATTCCCACTCAGTGACCATACAGGGCAGAGTAGAACTACTCCACAAGGTTGCAAATCTGTTATCTTTTTGGAAGCAAACTTAACACATCTTTGTCTTGGAGAGCGACTGATGTGTTTGAATTGGTGACCTTTCAATTATCAGCCAAGCACTTAACCACTACTCCACCAGTTTTCCTTAGTATTGCTCTAGAAATGAAAATATACAAAGACATGAACAAGTTACCTGGAGCAGTTTCCACAGTCTAATAAACCACTGAATGATTTACTATCATTTTTGAAGAAGTACTGGGTTTGTTCAGTAATACAGCTCTGCTTCGACAGGGTGGCTGTGAAGTCATCTTCCTCCATCTCAACTGTGGGGAGTCAACAATTTAAAAAGTTCATACTGTGCTTACTCCATTAGACTTTCCATTCCCACCAAGCAAAATAAATTTATAAGGACAGGAGCCTTGATTGGCTCATTTACTCCTCTGTAGAATGCTGGCAACTCCTAAGTGGTGCCCAAGAAATACCAACACAATGAACCAATAATAACTTACACACAACAGCTACAAAGCAGAAACTGTGCAAATAAGGAGCATTTTCTAAAGATTTAAGAATTGGTTACAACATGTCAACCTACAAGTGTTAACTATTTACTCTCTATCTCACACATGCACACTCACATGTGAACACACACATCTTTCCTCTCTTATTTTGTGGAATGCCTCACATCCCAAAAGAAGATATTAAGTTTAGTTTTGAGAGTACCTGAGTGTTGACCTACCTGCCTCTAGGAGTCGTGGAAAAGTCAAACTTAAGAGAAACTGCTGCAGAATAGACCTGAATAATTTAAAACAAACAAACAAAAAAACACCAAGAAAAAACACACACACAAAAACAATTACATGCAAATATCTACATTTTTATTATAAATTGTATAATAAAAATCTGAGTACTGCTGCATGATATTGCTCTCATTAACCTATATATACACAAACACTTGAACATTTTTCCTTTTTTTGGGAAAGAAAAGGATTTTAAAGTAGAAATTTGAGCAGTATTTTATATAACTATTTCTTGCATTACACAAAATAACTTATTTATGTGTAAATGAAATCATATACATTTAGAGTCATCTGAGGAACATATACTTGTGAAAAAAACACTACTGTAAAATCAGAGACTTTGGAACAGTGGCACCTATATGTGAGAGAGGCACCGCAAATTAGCAGACATGCTTTTGCTGTCCAGATGTTCTTGTTTAAAACTGTATGGCGGCAGAGAAAACAAATCAACATCAATAAGTAGCTTAACTGTTTTACTTTTATAGATGGTAGCACATTGGGGGTGGAAGGGTGGACTCAACAAAACAAAAGAATGAGACCTATTCACTCTAGGAACATTATGCCTCAGAATATGTCAGCCTCAGAGTTGGTTAGTCTTTTTAGAAAACTTTTCATTGTGATTAGACTGAAGTTTGTACATGTAGTTGGTCTTCCATCAACAATTCCTACACATTTTAATTTACGACACTGATAGTAATCCGCACAACGTAACATTAGCTCCCCATTTCCTCCATGTGTTTCCCATTCCCATTTGTCCCTATTTTCTATCTCTCTCACTTCTGAGCTTTGTCAGAATGCTCCCTGTTTGATCTTGCATGGTTGATTGTTCTAAACAGTGCATTCCCTCACTAGTGTGCTAGTGTTATTGATCACCTTTAAGGCCTGTTTATGTTTGGCTGAAAGTTGAGAACAAGAGCAATTTCACTGTGGGATTTCGGAGTCAACTAGGAGCCAGTCTCACTGAAAGTCCACACTCTCTCAGATGAGCAAGGCTGGCGCCTTTTAAAAATTGTTTCTTTTGAATTCTGTTCTCCTCCCCCACTCCCTTACTCTATTTGCATCTCTTTAAGAGTGGTCAGCACCATCTAGTCCTTCTTCTCTCAGGGTCATGGAGACTGACGTTTGCATGGTCCATCAGTTCTCTGGATTTTATTTGATTGTTTTTCAATCTTATTTTCTCCAGACAGGGAGAGACCAATAATCATACTTGGGCTGTCTCTTGAAAGCTTTTAAGACTCCAACCACTATTCACCAAAGCTGATGTAGAATATTGTCTTTGTGGTCTATGTGATACCAATTGAACTTGATGTGCCCTGAAATTACAGTCTTGAACTCCCAAGTCCAGTGACTCATGTTTGATATAGCTAAAAAGTTTTCATAACAATATGCATGGATCTATTTATAGAACATACAAATATAAATGAATAAACAGTGATAATATAAGAAAAATATTTATAACTATTATCAATATTTTTACAAAACAAAAAGAGAAATCTCCCATGACAATTAATATGCCACATAGTCTATATTTTTATCCAGCTCTTTACTATTTCACTAAATCATTCCCTTATTACCAATAAAACCAAAATTCTCACTTACCAGGCAGCAGCAGTAGCCCACCAACCGATGTGTAATATGTCTGCTATTGATGGCTACGAAAGATAATAGGAAATGTCACTACACCTGGGGTGTCTCTTGGAGAGGAACTGATGACTTGAGGGGATGTTACTGACCACAGAGGCTGAGCGATGTCCTGCTCCTTGCTTTGGTGCAGCACCAGGTTCACACACTGATTGGTAATCATAGGATTTATTAAAAGCATAGACGGACATATTAACAAGGTGTCTCATCAGACTTGGATCAATCTCTCCAAAAAATCTTCCAATCTAGTATAGAAAAAAAAATTCAAATTTAAGCTAAATAATACTTCAACCAGGACTAACTGGAAGAAATAGTGTGAAAAAACTGTGTCTCAGAACTGCTTAAGAGCTTAAAAGGAAAAGTAGATAATAAACCATAAAGCTGTGTGATTTTTTAATTTTCTTTTATTTTGTCTGTGTAAAAAAAAATGGAGATAAGTAATAAAATCATGCTCCAATACTTCTTGGAGAATTCCCACTTGTAGTTCTGGAAAAAGAGACATTAAGCTTGGGAAAGTTGAGGATCAGCAAAAGACAAGATGACCTGTAATGAACAGGAGGGCATCCCATCAGAAGGGGCAATCACTAACCAACTTCGTACCACAAGCATTGTTCATGAGGAGAATAGTCAACGGTGTTGGAAGATATTTTCTTTTTTTAAACAGAGGATATAAATTCAGACTCAGGGAATGAAATTTGACAGTGCCTATTTAAAATTTCAAAGGTGCTATTAGTTCAGTGGTGGAACTGTCATTTTTCTTGAAGGAAACTAGTCATTGATTTCGAGTTGACACCATTCTAGTGCAACCACCACTCATCTGTAGCAGAAACTTCCATGTTAAATTGACATTAGGCTAGTATCATAGAGCTTCCAGATTGATAAAGAAAGACTAGATGAAAGGTTTAATGATGTACTTCCAAAACTAGCTGAAAAAAAACCCCTATTGATCAGAACAGCTTTATCCTGTTATAAATAGTTGTGGATTCACTTGATGGCACCTAAAAACACTTTAAATTTGTTTAAAGTCCAGTATAACCCTACTAGCCTGTGTGTTGCCAATTAGGGATGGGGCTGTTCTTCATAAGTTTCAAAATAACTGTGCATTAAGCTTAGATGATGTTATCAACTGACAGATATTTAATATGTGAAAACTTATAGTTTTCTGTTAGAAAACAGAAATAGTTTGTCTTGTTAAAATATCAACCTATATATTTTAAAGATAACTGTTAATACCCACAAGTAAAACCAACCATAAAATATTAAAAGAATACTTAGATTTAGCATGTATTTCTTCACTTAAGAGAGAGACAAAACTATGTTAATATTGGTAAAAGTTTTAGAAGTGGGTGCTTTTTTTATTTTGTCATATCAATTAGAGATACAAACTTTGGAAATCCTATTCTCTTTATTTTAGGTACATACCTGGTTAGTATAATCATCATGATTTGCCATCAGTAGAAAGCCACCATCATCTAGAATCACACAGTCCATTACCTAACAATATAACAATAACAATTAACATGTATTTAGGAAGGTTGGGAGGGTTACATTATCATTATCACATTAAATGAAGATGCTTAGAATGAAAAACTCAAATGACGTTAAATGACTATATTTTCTCTAGCATATGCTCAGAACAGCTTGGTGAAATAAATTAAGGGCCAACATTTGTCCACAGTATTCTGTAGTCTCACAGGTTTTGATAATCTACCAACATCCATCAAGATAGGGAACATCAACTCAGTGTAAACAAATTAGAAATAATCTTTATGCCGCTCCAAGGTCATTGAATTGATCCAAGGAATAGGGCTCACCAGATAAATGGATACTATGTACTTCTTTCATTCTGAATATAGTATTTTGCAATGAAGTATACAATAAAAATAAATCTTCATCAACATGATTAATAAGAGAAAAGGTAAATATATCAGGCTAAGTGTGTTTATAAGAATTCTGAATTTTATATGAGTATTTAGTTGATAAAAACTTTTGGTTCAATGACTAAAGATCCAGAAGGAAGGAAAAAAAATAAATATATATATGTAGTACTTGTCTTACTTCTCTTAAATATAGGATAAATTACTATATAGTTGAAATCATGTTTAAGTGCATAAATAAATTTAATAATTTTTGTTAAATATAATTATCAAAAAGCATTCTTTTCTTCAGATTTGAGGAGATAAAACATTCAGTTTTCCTAATTTGGAAGCAGTTTGTTAAGCTCTTTGCACTAAAAATGGTTCCTATGCAGTCTACACAAAATGTTATAAAAATAACAATAATAAGAAATAAAAGTTATAAAAAGAATAAAATTTATGGACTTAGGATTTCAACAGAATAAAAATGGGTGAGAATGACCCCAAGGTTTCTATAAGTAAATTGGGAAGTCCAAGAAGTATAGAAAAAAATAGTGATATTTATTATATTTTGAAAGCAATTTCAAATTTTGAACTAGCAAAGTTCACATTTGCTCTTTCAATTTCTCAAATAGAACAGAAGTAATAGAAGTCAATGTAAAATCTAAAACATGCAAGTAAAATTTTTAACAAACGATATAATTCTAGGCTTTAGCTCAAAACACTAATAAAATGTATACATATTTAGAAAAAAAAACAACAATGAAAAACATGACAAATTTATGTGTAATGCAATTGGGTAACTTTGCTTAGAAACTTCCTATAGAAAAAATAAATAAACGAAACTGAAGGTAAATGGTTATTGCTGTTTGCCATCTGTTGGAATTAGCTGTTAGCTTACTCTCCAGAGGGTTTTAAGAGGCCGTCAGTCACACAGGAGATTGCTCATCCTTCTTCCACAGAGCACCTAGTGGATTGAAACTATATGCCTTTGAGATTTTAGCACAGCTTCTTACCACTGGGCCAACAGAGCTCCCCAAAGGTAAATACTTAGGAAAAAGTATTGTATCCAAATTTAGAATGAGGACAATGCAATCTGGAGTGCTATGGTATTTTTAGAACTTTGCCATAGTATGTATCTTTAAAACTAGAAATAATTTAACTTAGTCATCACAAATTCTATGTAATAACTACTTTACAATTCTGAAGATTATGTTTAATATTTTATTATAAATGACCAAATGTGTCCTTTTTTTTTACCATTAGATCATAACAGTTTAACCCACTAAAATTCAGAATAAGACATATTTTGAGAGTTTTCTTACATCACTGTTTCTTTGGCAGTCACAAACTGGACCAACACACTGAAAGACAGAAATACAAGTATAATCTTACATTTAAAAACAAATTTTAATTAAATAATTAACATATAATAATTAGAAAGCTTTAAATAATTTATCTAGTATAAGAATAAATGGTAGTCCATCTCATTTGGAAAAAAAGAATGTTAATGTTAAAATGAGAAAATAATAATGTCTATCATATCAAATGATAGCATGGACTTTTCCTATTATGTTCCATTATATGATAGTAAACTTCAAAAAAGAAATTTTTTTAAAAATTAAAGAAATAAAAATTCTGCCTTAATTTGACCCACCAGATCACTTGATACTATTCCTCCAACACTGAAAATTTACTTTAGTATTTCCTTGGAGGCTAGGATTTTGAAGCTCCACCTCACTTACTTGGGCACGTGGCCAGGAGAGATTGGTCCTTGGAGAAGGACATCATACTCGGAATGGTGGACAGACAGCACAGGAGAGGGAGACTCCAGATGAGATGGATTGATACAGTAACTGGGGTGATGGGGGTTGGTGTGTCAGAATTAATGAGACTGGCTCAGGACAGGGAAGGGTTCAGAGCTGCACATTACAATAATATACTATGACATGTTTGGAAGCAGGAGTGTCATCCACTTCCTAAATATTTTTCCTCTGGAAACTCTATGATGTTTAATAAATCTCGATATTTGTAGAGGGGCAATCAATAAAAACAACAAGCACTTAACTGTTTTTTGGATTTTTTTCCTTAAAAGGATTTTTTTTTTTAGATTGTTAAGTGTGGCAAAAGAACTGGTATTTTTTGTTTTTGTTTTTAATAAATTTTTTCTTTTATTCTGTTTACATACAAAGTTCATATACATTATTTTCACCCCACACCTTTCCCATCCTTAACCTAGCCCTGCATACTCCCATCAAATTGTGTGACCTTATGATTACCTCCTGTGACCCTGCCCTCCCTCACCTCTCTGCTCCTCCCTCCCCTCCTTGGATTCTCATACACATTTTACTAGTTATCTATTTCTACAATAATGGTCTTACACAGTATTTGTCCTTCTGGGACTGAGTTAGTTCACTTAGCATAATGCTCTCCAGTCTTTCCTAAGTAGTGATTTACAAAGTCACTGCTCCTTTGTGCTATTAAAGTAAATGATCTTACCGGATCCCTGATGGAAGTTTTGGTAAAATTCTCTATCCAGGAATTGACATCAATTTTAATTCCAACAACTGAAATATAATGCAAAAGAAAAAAAATACAATAATTGTTGCTGTTATTGTGTACTGTCGAGTCAGAACTGACTCACAGCTGAGCTCCGGTAGGTTTTAAGAGGCAATAAATCACACAGATAGAGTTTACCCATCTTTCTCGATGGAGCAGCTGGTGGATTTAAACCATGTGCCTTTGGGTTGCTAGCCCAGCTCCTTACCACCTATGCTACTCACCAATCTTCCTTAAATACTTACAAAGGTCTGAGTAGATAAATTTAAGTTTCTTGATATGAAAAGACATGAATAATATTTATTTAATTACATGTATCTATAGAAGAATTGATTTGAATGAACTATGTAATTGGCTTCCATACAATCTTTGTTATATAGTTTAGCTAATTTGTTCAGTAGTATATAAATGAGTGAGTATGTTTACCATAAACATATATCTCCTTTGCTCAGCATACAGATTGAATAGGTATGAAGATAGGTTATAACCCTGACACACTCCTTTCTTAATTTTAAACTGCTTGGAAGAGATCTACATTTCCAAGAGGAAATAGAATGTGGAAACTATCTATCAATATAATTAATATCACATGTAAGCAAAATATTGCTGAAGATCATTCAAAAACAGCTAGAACAGTACATGGATAGAGAAATTCCAGAAGTTCAAGCAGGATTCAAAAGACACCATGGGACAAGGGATATCATTTCTGATGTCAGATGGATCTTGGCTAATATAAAAAGTACTAGAAGAATGTCTATTTATGTTTTATTGAGTATGCAAAAGCATTTGACTGTGTGGCTCATAACCAGCTATGGCTAACACTGAGAAGAATGGAAATCCCAGAACATTTAATTCTGCTCATCTGAGACCTAAACTTAGAACAACAGGATGTTACATGAACAAAGGAATACTACATGGTTTTAAATTAAGGAAAGAGTAGTATTAAGAAAGTCTTGCTAAAAAGTTAGGCTTCCTTAGGCCATTGTCATGAATATGGACTATAGTGTTCAATATGGATTGAAGCTAAATATCAAAAAGACAAAAATTCTCACCACTGGCCCAATTGGCAGCACCATGATAGATAGTGAAGTTATTAATTATTTTTGTTTGTTTGGCTCCACAATCAAAACTCTTAGCATGAGCAGCCAGGAAATCAAAAGACAAATTTCACTGGGGAAGTCTGCTAGAGGGACATCTCCAAAGTGCTAAAGAGACCTCTTCAAAATGCTGATGTCAATCTAGGGAGTAAGGTATGCCTAATGTAGGCCACAGTCTTCAGAATTACTTACTATGCATCAGAGAGTTGGAAAATGACTAAGGATGACACAAGAACTAATGTCATTGAGTTATAGTGTTGGAGAAGAGTATTGAACATATTATGGACCACCAAGAGAATAAGCAGATTTGTCTTGGAGAGGGTGAAACCAAATTTCTCCTCGGAGGCAAGGATTTTGAAGGTCCATCACACACACTTTCAGTATGTGGGCAAGAGGGACCAGTCTTCAGAGAAGGACATCATGCCTGGAAGGGTGGAGGGAAAGCACAGGAGAGGAAGACCCCAAGTGAAATGAATTGACACAATAACTGGGGTAATGGGGTTAGGTGTTTCAGAGTCAGCGAGACTGGCTCAGGATAGGGCAGGCTTCAGAGCTGTTGTACTATGAGTCAAAGGCAGCATGATGGCATATAATAACACAACAACAAGAAGACCGTTATCTTTAAGCTAATCCAGTAGCTTCAATTTTGCCTACCCTTCTAGAAAGGCACCACCAGATCACCATCATTAATTCTCCTGGTGGCATCTTTGCCCCAGAACTCTGATAAAAGAAGCCTGTATCCAGAATTCTCTGATCCTTTTCCTTGGCTTGCCTGGGATAGCTACACCATCAACAGCTGTGTGAGTTTTTCAGCATCTTCCAACATGCTAAACCCAAGGAAACATGGAGGAAATTTTGGGGTCAGGAGTAATTGGATGATCAGTAAATTGCTAAATTAATGTGATAGTTTAATAGATTAAATGTTGGGGCATTTTTTAAAAATGAATTTTAATGAAAGTTTACAGAGACTTAGGGTTTCCAATCATTCATTGTTGTACCTTTCTCACTGCCCACCCCTCCTCACCCAGGGGAATTTTTGACTACTATGTTTTGATGGCTAATCTGATACTAATATTATGGAAGTTACACTGACTATATTTTTGTGTGCATTTGAAAGTATATTAGAATACAGATCTCTAGCATCATAGTGAGCTCTGGTGAACTAATGGTAAGAAGCTGCACTGCAATTCTAAAGACATATGGTTGAAATCCAAGCTGCTTCTTGGGAGAAGGATGGGCAGTCTTCTGTCAGGCAATTCATTGCCTCTGAAAACCTTCTAGAGGGTCAGCTACATATCAGTTCCCACTCAAAGGCAAATAACAACAAAAGAAGTATATTAGACCCAACCCAAAACTCAAAACTTAGCATTTAAAATCTTGATATATGACAATAAATTGATCCCAAAACTTTAATTAAGAATGTATAAATGTACCCACATACTTAAAAATAACCACTGATCTGGTTTTATATCTAAATTCCATTTTGTCGACTTTCATGTAATTAAACTTTCTTGAAGTTCTCATATAAGTGATGTCAGTTTAAACTATAAATATCAGGTCAAGTTTATTTTGTATATAGTGTACCTTTTTGTGTGTGTATGCACATGCATGAACAGATGCTTCTATGTGTGCAAACCATGCATGCTTACCTGCTGGTTTAAGAAGTTTTCCTTGGATATAAATCTCTACAGCTTTGCTTACCATAATGCCTGATTCATAGGCACCAGGTCCACTTTCTGAAAAAGGAGAAAACATATGTATCTTTTCAATATTTTAAGACTGGGTTTCCTTAATAGCTACAAATCGATCGTTTTTTCCTCAGATATTCTAGTGTCTATATACAATAAAGAAACTCTGGTGATTTAGTGGTCAGAAGCTGTGCTGCAATCCCAAAGGCACATGGTTTGAAACCACCAGCAGCTCCCTGGGAGAAGGATGGGCAACCTCCTCCGTGTGATTTACTTCCACTGAAACCCCGCTGAAGGATCAACTATGTGTTGGTGCTGACTGAATGCACACAATGACAAGAAATATTATCAGGGAGCCCTAGTTGCTCAGGGTTAAAGAGTTGTGCTGACAATCCAAAGATACATAGCTTGAATCCACCAGCTGCTCCTTGGGATAAAGGTGAGATGATTTCTCCCATGCAATTTATAACCTCTGAAAACTCACTGAAGAGTCAGCTATGAGTTGATTCCCACTCGACAGAATACAACAACATGAACTGTAAAGAGCTTTGTCGTTTCTGCTTTCCTCATTCTTCTCTTATCTATCAGGTCAGAAGAATGTCCAAGAATTAGTCTGTATTTATTTACTTCAGCACAGCTGTCATTGCTTATATCGCCTAATGTATTCATGCCAAATCTATGCTTCCAAATGTTGATGAGGCTGTTGCAGTGAGGTGAAAAGACAGATCTTGGATTAATAAAACTGGCTTTGCTTCTTGTTTGTCCTATATATTGTATGTTCTTAGACAAAACTCTGAAATGATTTGAACTTAATTTCCCCACTTATGAAAATAAGGCTAAAACATATCCCAGAGATGCTGTAATTTCGAGTTACTATTAATGTTTAAAAATACTACATTAGATTCAATATAAAATAGTACACTTAACTCATTGTTGTTGAGTCAGAACCTATTAAGAGGTAACCCGGCAGCCTGTTTTTGGAGGCCGCAAATCACACATCAGGAAATTGCCCATCTCTCCCCACTTAGAGTCACTGGTGGATTCGAACCAGAGAGGGGCAGCCTTTCAGTGAGAAGTATGACTCCTTTGAGACTGTGCCAACAAACAAAACAAACAAGCATTCCCACAAAAGATAAGCAGTCAATTTACTCCGTTTGTTTACTTGGGTTTCTATATATTACCAGTGCTTGTTACTTGGGAATTTAATTAAATGCTCTCTCTACATTTAGAGATAGCACCCAACAACAATGCAAACATTACAGGATGACTATTTTCTGTTATGTGAATTTTACATTTTCAGCTAAAGAGAGGTATCTTTCTTCCTTTTCCAAGGGCTTGCATATGCCATCTATCTGCACAATACTAATTATTCTAACCAGTTAACATAAAATATTTTTATTCCTCGGAAAGCCAGCAGTAGCAGTAATTCATGTTTTTAAAGATATGAGAAAGCTGAATTCCAAAGCAATACTTACTATTAAAGTAGGGAGCAGTGAAAACATAGTTATCATTATCCAGGCTTCTTTTATAGAAGCTGTCTTCATATGTCTCTGGGTTTTCTTGCCAATTTTCTCCAGCTCTAAGGGAGGAAGTGGGACAGTTCATCATTTGTATTCTTTAATCTACCTGATGACCTAATTTTCCCTCTGTGGGCATCACTTAACCTTACAGAGATGGAGACATCTCACATACATCTAAGAAAATTAATAACTGGTGATGGAACTAATAATATCCACTAATAAATAATGGACCTGCACATCATTACATTGAGGATCAGGAGAAGAGAAATCCTAGTTTTAGCTCTGCCATTTGCCAGATAATCATGAACAAATCAGCTAATAAATTAATTGATTAACATTAATTAACCTTAATATCTACCAAGCCCCATTTTGAAAATAAACAGATACAATGCAATGAACAGTAGTAACAAATTACAACATAAATATTCTAACAGGCTATAGTTATTACATGAATTTATGTAATTCAATTTTCATCTGTCAAGAAAATAAACTTTAACCTTTCTTACATTTTATAATATATATGAAAAGCAAATTTCAGAGATTTTTACAATATCATTTTTAAGAGAAATGAAGTTTTAATACAACAAATATTAAACAATAAATCCAATTACAAGTAATGACTAGTTGCTCTGAAGAATGATTTCCTTACAGAGTCATGTACAGGCTCTTGGAAATAGCTTTTGTAATGCATCGCTATTTGCAGATGTTATTTAAACTTACTCTTTGGGATACACTCTGGTGATCCCACCATCAGTCACAACAAATCTTGCTTTCACTCCCTTGCTGGAACAGAAGACAAAATACGATCATTATTATTGTAGGGGGAAAAACAGGCAATCTCCTCTTGTGTGACTTATAACCTCTGAAACACAATAGAGGGTTGGTTATGAATTGGTTCTGCTTTGCCAGCAATGAATTTTTTGGTTACTATTATTCTTCAACTAATTCTTTACATGAAATGATTTAGGTGCTAATTATACAGAGAAAAAAAGAAAATGATTCATTAATCTTAAAGGAGCTAAGAGCTATCCTAGTGGGTAAGGAGTTGGCTGCCAGCACAAAGACAGTTTCAATGCACCAGTTGCTCTGTGGGAGAAGGATGTTCAGTCTCCTCCTGTGTGATTTACAGCCCCTGAAAATCTGCTGGAGGGTCTGCTATGAGTTGGTTCCAACTTGATCATAATGAGTTAGAATCTTAAAGAAGCTCCAGTGACTTAGTGGTAAAGAGTCATGCTGCTAGCCCACAGGCACAGTTTGAATCTACCAGCTGCTCTGTTTGGCAATCTCCTCTCCTGCAATTTATAGGCCCTGAAAACCTACTGCAGGGTCAGCTATGAGCCAGTACAACTGGCACATAACAACACCATATTAGGCTATGCATTAATAGTTACAGTAGTATTTTCATAGATAAATAATTACTTACCAGGTATCTACTTATAGGAGACATCAAAATGATGATGAGGCTGAATTTTAATAGGTGTTAGCATTGGGGGTTGGTATGCTGGAATTAGTGAGATTTGCTCAGGACAGGGAAGGGTTCAGAGCTGCTGTACATGGGATCGCTATGGGATGGGATGACAGAACAACAACAACAACATATTATGTTGGTTGTTTTTGTTTTTTTGTTTGGCTTTTTTTTAATTTAAGCCTATTGTTTAGAGTCAACAAGACCTCGGGGAGCACCTTTGTATTTAGAAGCTGGTTATTATATTTTGGAGGAACATTCTTCTAAGGAGTACAGCACTCTTCTGTGAATTTGCTGTATTGAAGTAACCTGGGGTTGCTATGATGCTGAAACTTGTGCCATTGGGGTATCAAATGCCATCATGGTTACCTATGGTGGACAGCGTTTGGTGGAGCTCCCAGTTTAAGAAAGGTTTGGAAGCAGGAGGTGGCATCCACTTCCTAAACAACATGCCACTGGAAATGCTATGAACTTTGAGAAACAGTGATAGTTATTGGAAAGGTTTCAGGTCTTTTGCTCATAGGGTAACTTTGAGTCAAGTCATACTCGACAACAATCAACAATAGAAACAGGTGTTAACAAAGAGGACAAAGGAAGCAGGAAGCTATCAGATGGAGGGCAAAGAGTAGTGTGTGTACTAGAAAATAAGTAAGACTGATGATGGTTGATGTAAATAAAGCATAAGACACAAGGCAGGAAGCTCTAAGAGGGAAGTTTCAAGTACAAGAGTTGTCAAAGTGATGAGTTGAGACAGGATATTGAAGTCTATGTTAGAAAGATTTATCATTATCATTAAACTAGAACTGTGTTTTAGAAATATTGACTTTACCAAATATTACTGAGTAGAGAACAGACTGGCGCCTTTGATAGAGGACTACTACAAATGTAAGGTAGAACAGTTACTTATAATTTCTCATGAAAGAGTTCTGTAGGACTTAAAATGAAAGAGAGGAAACTGTAATAGGAAAAAATACGAACATTTGAAATTGGTTTGAAATGGGGTTGAAGGTTAGGTTGTAAACAAAAATTTTATTCAGATTTTTCAGCTTCTTTACTGTAAAGATGTTGTGCTCTTACTAGAAGTCAACTCATTCACCAGAAATCACATTTTATTACAAAGAAGCCCGCATAAACAAGACTATTTATTTTAGTTTATTCACACTGAAGTGTATGAGTGCATAAAGCTGAGTAAAGTCAGGTGTTAGTACTGGCATACAGTGTCAAATAATTAAATGCCAAAATGTAAAATTATTTTCTTAACAAAGCAAATAATAAATGTATAAAATCTATTTTTAAAAACATTTTCCATATAGAAGTTAACCTAAAGCAGAGAGAAAGAGAGAGAGAGAGTGTGAGAGTGTGTGTGTGTGTGTGTGTGTGTGTATAATTACTAAGCAACATATACTTACATATTTTTCTGCTTACTCCAGTAATTTTGGACTAGCTCATTTGTAAATCCTGCATCCAGGAGGATTCGATTAATCAAGTCTGTGTTGCCTAAAATAGAAAAAAAATCCTTAATTATAACATATAATTTTAAGTAGAATAACAATGAAATAAATACAGAGTTTATTTTCCTAAGAAATTTAGAATGTACATTTCTAAGAATTAAAGTTTATCTTACATTTATTTTTCCATACTTTCTCTATTGAAAATATTCATCTTGCTTTACATTGTCATAATTCGTAGAGGGAAATCCAATTCTAAATTGGGACACAATATTCTAAAAAAAATAACAAAAAAGTCAATGGCATCCACTTCCTAAACCAATGTGTCTGGAAACTCTAAGAACTTGGAGAAACAACGGTAGCTATGGAAAGGCATTAGGTCTTTTGTTCATAGAGTTGCTATATGTCAACCTCGACTTGCTATAAGTCAACCTTGACTCGACGACAATCAACAACAACATAACAAAAAAGATACTGGAAATATGCTATATGCATGTCAGAAAAGAATAAGCAAGTAGTTTTTACTAGGGTTGTTTTTTTAGGTTAGTGTAACGACTTCCAATCATTCTACATTCTAATTTCTTAGCCAATTAAACACATAGATCCCACACAGATCCATAAAATCCTGTGTCACACACACACACACACACACACACACACACACACACACACTCCCTCTCTGTCTCTCTGTCTCTCTCTCTCTCACACACACACACACAGAATTTCAAATTTCCTTCAACTACAAATGTTAAAGAAAAGTTATGGTCTATTTTCACTAACAAGAATGGACATTTTCATTCTCTTTTACCCAAAATATCAGAAGGCAATCAGTAAGGAATATATGTTGTCCATTGATAAGTCAGTTCCAACTTAATGACTATATATGCCAGAGTAGAATTGTCTTATAGGTTTTTGAGATCAGGGAGTGTTATACATAACACTCTATTTTTATCTTTCAAAATGGTTTTGCTTATTTAGATCTTTTTTCCTTTCTAAACAAACTCATCAATTGCCTTTTCTAGTTCTTTGAAAACTGAGTTTGGTATCTGTGGATTGTGTTGAATATGTAAATGGCTTTTGGTGGGACTGTCATTTTCATAATATTCAGTCCTCCATCCATGAACAAGGAACATATTTCCATTTAGTTGGGTTTCTCACTGTTTCTTGGAGTAATGTTTTGTAGGGTCCCTTCCCCCTTCTTATTAAGGTCATTAGCATCTCTAGTAAGCTTTATTCGCAAGAATTTAATCTTGTGATTGGCTATTGTAAATGGTATTGCTTTCTTAGTCTTGTCTGTGTTTTCTTTATTGCTGTAGAGAAATCGGACTTATTTTTGTATATTGATCTTGTATCCTGCCACTCCATTAAAGTGGTCTACTAGGTCTAACAGGTTTGTGGTGGTGGTTTGTATTTTTTTTTTTTAGTTGTTGTTTTGTTTTGTTTTTTGTTGTTGTTCTTGAGTCTCTGGGGTTCTCTGTTTATGCTATCATATCATCTATACAGTGACAATTTTACCACCTCATTGCCAGTTTGGATGCCTCTTATTTACTTCCTTCTATTGTCTTATTGTCCTGGTCAGTACTTTCAACATAATATTAAATAGAACTGATGATAGTGGACAGCCTTATCTGGTCCCTTCTTTCAAGGGGAATGTCTTCAGTCTTTTTCCACTGAACACGATGTTGGCTCTTGGTTTTTTGTACTTTTAAAAAGGAAATTAACTTTTATTCCCATTTTTTGAGTAAAAGTCCTCTTCTGTATCAACTGGTAAGTTCATGTGGTTCTTGTTCTTGTTTTGTTAATGTGATGAATTGTGCTGGTTTATTTTCTTATGTTGAACCAAGAATGTTGATTGTGGAAATCAGTAAAGCTGAAGTTATCAACAATCTCAATCTCATCTCTGTCCATCATGAAGCTACTAATTGGCCAAGTGGTGAGAATCTTTGTTTATTGATGTTGAGTTTCAATTCATATTGAAGACTACTGTCCTTGATCTTCTACAGCAAATGCATCATGTCCTCTTTAGTTTCAGCAAGCAAAGTTGTGTCATCTGCATAATGCAGTTTGTTTATGAGTCTTCCTCCAATCCTTACGTCACATTCCTCCACATAAAGTCCAGCTTCTGAATGAACTTTTCTGCATATAGATTGTAAAGGTATGGAGATAGAATGAATCCTGACTCACACCTTTCCTGATCCTGAATCATGCAGTATTTACCTGCTCTGTTCTGACTATTGCTTCCTGGTCCAAGTACAGGTTTCACATGAGCGCAACCAAGTGTTCTGGGATCCTCATTTTTCTCAGGGTTAGCAATAATTTGTTGTGATCCACACAGCCAAATGTCTTTGCATGCCCAATGAAACACATATAGATATTCCTCTGGTACTCTCCGCTTTCAGCCAAGATCCATCTAATTTTGGCTATGATGTCCCTAGTGCCACAGCTTCTTCTAAACCAAGACTGCATCACTGTCAGTTTTCTAATGATGTACTGTTCTAGTTGTTTCTGGATAATCTTCAGCAGGATCTTGTTTCCATGTGATATTAGTGATACTATTGTTGTTATTAAGTGCCAAGTCACAGGTGACTCATAGCGATCCTATGAAGGAGAGTCCTCAATGCTTGGGTGCCTTTCATCCTCTCTCCAGGTTCACAGGGTTTCCGGAGGCTAGCTATTATGGAAATGGATGCCACTCCTCCTTCCAAGCTTGTTTTAATTGGGTAGCTCCACCCCACTCTCTGTCCACATTGGGTAGTCAACCATTAATGCATTTGACACATTTAGTGTCACAGTGTTCAGCCTCACAGCAACCACAAGTGACCGCGGTACAGCAACTTGTACACCAGGGCTATATGACCTAGAGGAATGTCTGAACAAAAGCAATGAAAGACAGGCCCTCGGGTTGCAGATTAAAATTCACCCAATTTTGGTTTAGTAGCATCACCTTCTGTCCACTGGGCCAGCTGATCTCTCTCTCTGTGTTGATATTATGGTTGTTAAGTGCCATAGAGTCTCAAGTGACTCATAGCAACCCTATCAAGGAGAGTCCTTAAACCCTAGACCAAGCCTGGCTTGCCTGGCTCCTGGAGGCAGAATAGTCCTTCACGTGCAAAACTGCCACAACACTCGCGCACAGAGAACCATGCTCTCTCTGGTGACCAGGTCATAGCAGCCCTGGGCTAGGCAAACCTGGGAGAACATGGCCACCTTCTCTCCCCTCTTCCCCTTTTGGGCTTGAAGCCCCCTGCTGCTTTAAACCATAGGCCAAGCCTGGCTTGCCTGGCTCTTGGAGGCAGAGTAGTCCTTCACACGCAAAAACTGCCACAACACCCGCACATGCAGCACCACACTCTCTCGGGTGACCAGGTCATAGCAGCCCTGGGGGAGCAATGATACCATATGATAATTTCATACTCTGTTTTATGGGAATAAATACAGATCTCTTCCAGCTAGTTGACCAGGCAGTTGTCCTCCAGCTTTCTTGGCATAGCCTAGTGAGTGCATCCAGTGTAGCATCTGTTTGTTGAAATATGTTAATTGGTACCCGTCAATTTCTGGAGCTTTATATTTTGCAAAGTCCTTCAGAGCAGCCTGAACTTTCTCCTCCGTCACACAACACTTGATCATATGTTGCTTCATGAAATTCTTCTGTGTCAGCTAATTCTTTTTGGTATAGAACTTCTGTGTACTTCTTCCATCTTCGTTTGATATTTCCTGGGTCATTCAAAATTCTTCTTTCAGTATCCTTAAGTAGTGCTACTTGAGGCTTGGTAACTTCAGCTTACTTGGTTCCACAGTCAACACAATTAGCACCAGAAATCAGGAACCCAAAATATGAACCCAAAATATGAATTGCACTACGAAGGTCTGCTGTCAGAGATCTTTCTAGAGTACTAAAGAGCAACGATGTCAGTTTGGAGACTAAGGCGCACTAGATCCAGGCCATGGTCTTTTCAATTACTTGCTATGCATCTGAGAGTTGGACAATAGCTAAGGATGATAGAAGAAGGATTGATGCCTGTTTGTTGTGATGCTGGAGAAGACAACTGAACATACTGTGGACTGCCAGGAGAACAAACAGGTCTTTCCTAAAGAAAATGAAATCAGGCTGTTCCTTGGAGGCAAGGATTTTGAGGCTCCAGCTCACATACTTTGGACACGAAGGATAGAGTAGAAGAAGAAGACACAGGATGAGATGCACTGACTCTGAATATGGATTAGTTCTACTGGATACTATGAGATTGTCTCAAGACAGGGCATGTTTCAGAGTTAATGTACATACGGTCTTTATGAGTTGCAGGTGGCTTGACAATCATAAAAACAACATAATAACAACAACATGTTGAACCATCCTTGCACAACTGTTATAAATCCCTCTTGGTCGTGATGATTTTTTTTAATTAGTTTTAATGAAAGTTTACAGAGACTTAGGGTTTCCAGTCATATGATGAATTATTTTTAAAAATAATGTTTTATACTGTTGGATTCTATTGGACAGGATCTTGCTATGGATTTTTGCATCCATGTTTAGGAAAGATATTTCTCTATTGTTTTCTTTTTTCTCTTTATTATTATTATTATTAATTTTAATAAAAATTTAAAGAGACTTTGGATTTCCATTAATTTATTCTTGCACTTTTCTCCCTGTCCACTCCTCCCCTCCCCCAGTTTGCTCTTCTCTTTTTAAAGTAAAAGAAAAATTCTTTCATTGTCATACAATCCCTCCCCCGAAGTCCACACCACCATGCAGCCTTCAGTCTGTTTTCTTTTTTAGTAATGGTTTGTCTGGTTTTGGCATTAGGGTTATACTTTCTTCAAAGAATGACTCTGGTAGTGTGTCTTCTTTTTTTTCCCATTTTTAAAAAATAATTTGAGTCTAATTGCTAATAGTTCTTTTCTAAATGCTTGGTAGAATACTTTAAACACTTTAAAGCAGTAAATTTGAAAAGGGAACAATGCCTTAAAATCTTCTGGTAAAATAAAATAATTGGGATCATTATTGTAATTTATATTCTAAATCAATGTTACTAACAATATTATACTGTATATTACTCATGTTTTCATTGTGCTCTATATGTAAATATGTATCTTGATATATGTTCCTTGTAGTTAATTGCATAAAATATAAAATCATATGATTAGTATTATTTATCTTTACCAATTGACACATATAGACAAAGCAAATATAATTTTTATATTGGCTTAAGAATAAATAGGGTAGAAGACGACCAACATCCTCAAAATATTGAATTAGGTTAATAAATTACCTTAAATATTAAATGGAATATAGAAGTATGCATTTTCATAAAGTAAAAAAAATACACATATTTACAAAGTAATTTGGATAACTGAATTTTAATCACTAATAACTATTTTTAACATAAGTTTTAAATCTCATTTGATTACATAAGGTAAATGTAACAGGAAAAAATCTATAGCAGCCAATTAAATAGTAGTGAGGACTATATGTTGTGTGTTATTAATTCTACTCATAGTGACCATATATGTCAGAAAAGCAGGGTCCTATAGTGGTTTTTAGGCTGTAATCTTTGGTAGAGCAGATCACCACATCTTCTGTGTATTTGATTATTAGCTGACTTTAAGAGTTTGAGCAATTAATAAGTTAAAAATTATTGCTATTACTTAACTAATAAAATATTGACAATGCTATGGGATAGTATTTTTAAAAATTGCAGCTCTGTCAAAGTGAGTTCACATTAAGCAGAAGAGTTTGACATTTCTCATGTTCAGGCACAATCTACGTAGGACTCACATGCCTATAACAGTATTCAAGTAGAGTTTTCAAGCTGGGAGCTCTAGTGGCCTAGTCTCGTGGCCTAGGGAGTACTGCTGCTAACTCAAATGTAGAGCCTCACTGGCAGCTTCAATCCATTAGAGGTCCGCAGGAGAAATACAGGCAATTTTCTCCAAAGAATACAATCTGAGAAACTCAATAAAGCATCATCAATGAGTAGATTCTGACTTGGCTACCATCGGGGAGAAAGAGCAAGAGAAATGTGGCTTAAGAGGAAAACTAAGGGAAGTTTGTTTGGATGAGATCAATTTAAATTTGAGAGACAGTTTCTTGAAGAAAGTTTTAAACTTTTTATATCTTTCAAAGAGAAGAACTTTAAAGAAATAAAAAGATGGGGAGAGATGAGTAGCTAGGAGGGAGGAGAAGGTGCAAAAGGGGAAATGGAGAATAAAGAGGAAGAAGGTTAATGTCAGTTTTTGTTGAGGGGGGAGTTGATATGCAATTAGTAAAACTTTCCTTTCATTTGTTTTCCCACCTGCTGTGTTAGCATAAAGTTGGCTTTTTTTTAGACATTACCTTAGGTCTCCAGCAGACACAGGGTCTTGCAAATCATCAAGAGACGTGAAACTAGGATGAGGATGAGAGAGAGAGAGAGAGAGAGAGAGAGAGAGAGTGATCCTGGTAGCAAGACCCTGGTAATGGTGGTGGAGAAACAGGCATCGTTGTGGAGAAACTGTGGCAAGATATTACCAGAGAAGCCCTGAGATAAGTGTCACAGTTAAAGGTTTGCTGTTTGTGGCATGATGGAAGAAAAAGCTGACTGCTGAATGAAATGAGAGCTGGGACTAATTGAGGAATTGTGCCTTGGAACTGCTAGGCTAAAATCTGAATTATGGGTAATATACTTTGTCTCCTCCAGTCGCCAGCTTGTTGTTGTTATGTGCTGTCAAGTCGCTTGGGACTCATAGTGACCCTTTGTACAACAGCCCTAAACTCTGCTCTGTCCTCTGCCAATCACATTGCCTCTGACATACCCATCCCGATTACCCCAGTCACTGAATCAATCCACCTCATAGAGGGCTTTCCCCTCCTGTACTGTCCCTCCACCCTCCCAAGCACAGTGCCCCTCTCCAATGACCCTTACAACATGTCCAAAGTATTTTAGACAAAGCTTCAGAATCCTTGCTTCCAAGGAGCAATCCAGTTTAACCCTCTCTAGGACGAATCTGTTTGTTTTCCTAGCAGTCCATGGTATTCTCAATACTCTTCTCCAACACCAAAGCTCAAAGGCATCAATTCTCCTTCTATCCTCCTTAGTTATTGTCCAACTCTCTGATGCATAACAATTGATTGCAAAGACCATGGCATGTATCAGACGCACCCTAGTTTCCAGAGAGACACCATTGCTCTTCAGAACTCTGGAAAGGTCCCTAACAGCATGCTTTCGCCTGGTAATACATCTTTTAAATTCTTGGCTTCTGGTGTCAAGAGTGTTGACTGTGGAGCCAAGCAAACTAAAGCTATGAACAATCTCAATCTCTTCACCATCCATCCTGATGCTGCCAGCTGGCCTAGTGTTGAGAATCTTTGTCTTCTTGACATTGAGCCTCAATCCATATTGAAGGCTGCAGTCCTTGACCCTCTGCAACAAGTGCTTCAGGTCCTCCTCAGTTTCAGCAAGCAGGGTTGTGTCAGCTGTATAACACAGATTGTTGATAGATTTTCCACCAATCCTGATACCACATTTCTCCTCATAGAGCCCAGCCTCCCAGATGATCTGTTCTGCATACATGTTGAAAATGTATGGAGACAGGCCACATCCCTGGCATACACCTTTCCCAGTTTTGAACAATGCAGTGTTTCCCTGCTCTGTACTGATGACTGCATCTTGGTCCAAGTATAGGTTTCTATAATTTCCACACTGTTGGGTCACCCCTCTTTGGAATGGGAACAAATACAGATCTCTTCCAGGATAAAAGAGAGAGAGTGCTTCCTACACTAAACAGCAAGACTCGAGGTAGACTGGAGCAAGACCTTGGTGAGAGCAAGACCCTGTTGGCAAGGCACTGGTGTTGGAGGTGGAGAAACTGTGGCAAGGTATAGCCAGAGGAACCCTGATATAAAGGCCACAGTTCAAAGTTTTGCTGTTCTTTTGGGATGATGGAAAGAATAGCTGACTGCTAAAGTGAAATGAGAGCCTGAACTAATTGAGGAATTGTGCTTTGGGACTTCTGGACTAAAATTTGGACTTGCATTAAATCTCACCTTTGGTACCATCTCTTGATGCTGGTGTGGATCTGCTTTCTTCTCTGGGATAGTGAAGGCCTGTGCTCTTCTTACACCCTCCGACTCTTTCAGAGAGGCACTCACAGCCCTGTGCCCCTCTGTCCTATTTTCTGTTCCTTTCACACCTCTAACTTATTCACCCTTTAATTAGCTTGAAAGTACATTTTATAATAAAAAAGAATGTTCTGGAAGGGAAACATTTAAGTACTTTAAAAAGCCAACTGTCCATATAAGTTTCTATAAAGTCTAATGGTTTAAATGTAGTAAAGATCTACGAAAAGTAAATAAAATAGTTAAAAACTGATTACTCAATTTTTTCATTTCTATTTTATTTGCTACATGAAATGAGAAATTACAAAAGTATATTTTAAAGATCTGAAGTTAACTGGAATAAAAATAGAATGTCAGGAAAAAACACTATTAACTGATGCCTATCTTTATATTTGTTCTTATTCTACTTATACTAAAATGTATTACATAAACCAAAAGGCATGAATATACCTGTAAAAAGGTATCATAAGTTATCCTTTATCAAGACCAGTGAAATGAAAAACCTTCAGGAAATCTTTAAGATAATTTTCCTAATTTTGAGGGGCAAATGAGAGCATACTTTTATATTCAGCCATTCACAAGTACCCTTTACCTTGTTTTGAAAATTTCATTGAACTTAATAACTTTATTAAACTTCTTTTAATAAACACATAAAGGATCTAAGTATACTATTTTACCATGGACAAATAATTAAATAAATGAAACTGCACACAAACAATATTATCTGAATCACTTCGAACCCTTTGGATTGATTCACAACAGAAATTATTCTGATAAATTAATGTGTACTTACATGATGGATTATTGGGAGTTTTCCTATCAATGAACTCATTGAAATTTAAAAGAAATTCTGTGTTGTTATCCGATATTTTAAGATCACTGCAATAATCTCTGTAAAAAAATATTTTAAAGAAGGCATTAGGTGCTAAAAGCCAAGAAAGTATGTGGTAATCATGGGTAGTGAAAACATCGACATTATTCACTAGTTCTGTACCTTCACATGCAGTTGAATTTATTATTTCTCTTTCTTCTTTAAAATGAACCTTGGCTATAGATAATGACCTTTGGACATTCAGACTCATACTAAGTTCATTCTTACTGGGTTGATTTTCTTTCCAAGTGACCCTGTAGGACTGAGTATACCTTTCCATAAAGTTTTTGAGGGTGTAAATATTTATTTAGAAGTAGACTGCTTTATTGGCCTTGATGATTGGTAGAAATAGGTGTGGGAGCATGTGGGGTGGCATGTCTGATCATGTAACTATTTGTCTGATACTATGTATATATTGATGGACACAGCCTCCCTTTATGAAGCTGGTACAAGTCAGACCTGGCCACCCCCAGGTCATTTGATTGAGAGCTTTGTAACACTGGCCAAAAGCCATGAGGCTCCAGACTGAGGTGCTTCTGAGCACATTTCAGAAGCTGTCCTGACTATATTCTTCTACTAACCTGAGTTATATGGGCTTTTTAATTTCCCCAATATGGCTTTACGTGATCTGTGAGCTATCACATCAGATTTTGGATGTATTAAAAAACTGTATTGGTGTTGGGATGAGAGAAAGAGTTGTGGGAGCATGGGTGTCATGTCTGACCACAAGGGTTTGTGCTGGTGATGCTGTTTATGGGGGCAGTCCCCTTTGTGAAGTTGGTAAAGGTCAGACATGACCATGCTCATGCTGTCCTGACTCTTTTTACAGATAATTAAAGCTATTCTGTCTTGATCACATACTAAAACTGGTATTTATAATTTCTTAGTAGTTAGCTGTCATATATAATTCAAAGCAATATCAGTGCATTAAAATTCTATACTCTTCATGATTCTTTGACTAGATCTTCACTCACCCTTGACATTGTGACAGCAAGGGAGGAGACTGCCCATCTTTCTCAAACTGAGGGCCTTTGGGTTAGCAGGGAAACCCTTTACCACTAGGCCACTAAAGTTTCTGCCATGGAAACCACAGCGTCTATGAACCACAGTTAGAATTATTGCTCTAAGATTTTTAAAAAATGAACAACAAATATAAGGCAGTATAAATATCATGATTGTAATTCATGTGGATAAAATCCACCAAATTGCAGAGATATTGAAGGTAATCTGCAGTTAAATGGTTAACTTTTTTCAGATACAATGATTTCCTAGACACAAAGCCTCTGAGGATAAAAAGCAACAGATTGTATGAACTTTAAAAAACACAAATGATCCATCTCAGTCCACTGAAAATTTTAGTTTAAGGGCAAAGTTTAAAAAGTTTGCATGACTTGTACTCACTGAGTTATTACAGAGCTAAAATTGACTTCCTCCCACAGTGCTGTGCTGTTTTAGAAATAGCACTGGCCTGGAAGTCGAAAGCCAGTGTGTTGAATTATAGTTACATAGAAGTAGAAACTGATGGCAAGACTTCAGAAGCCTTGAAGTGGTGCAAGTAACTAACAATAAAATTATTTCTGAAATACTGATTTATTATGTAGGACACAATTAATACTTTTTTAATTTAATCTTTAAAAATTAGTTCTAGCAGAAGCCATCTGAGAGTTTAGGGTTGAAGAAGCTGAGTTTCAAGGACATAAAGAAATTTACCCAAAGGCACCTGTTTAGTAAATGCTTAAGTTTATAAAATAAGCTAAGTCCTCAGATTCTAATTTAGTCCACCATGCACTGTGCTTTGAACTGTCAATTTTTGAATTTTATTGCCCTAAAGCACCAGACCAAAAGCAGCTTTGACCCTTACCAATAAAAAGCTTCTAGTTTTGTTAGCTATTAATTTAATCAATGTCATGACATTGTTTTGTTTTTTAATCTTATGAAGATTAATAAGAGCAAAATCAGTAAAAAGACTAAAGCTACTAGTTAGGAGGGATGTTATATCAGAAACAAAAGTAGAAATATAAACAATAAAAACCACTTTTATATTTGTCAGTGAAAAATGGTTTCTCTCTCATCACAATGAGTTGGAAGGCTTGAATACCACAAACCAAAAGGAATATTATTAGTGTTTAGTAGGAACATTGTAGGTTGCTTAGTGGCAGAGGAGTTGTTCTGAACCACTGAGGGTCAGCTATGAGTTGGTTCTGATTCAGTGGTAACTGACAATAATAACAATAAGACAATTAGTTGTTAGACACTTGTTGTTAGTTTGATTGAAATATTTTAGACACGTGAACAGGTAGCTGGAAAGGCAACATCTATTTTAGCTAATAGCTGTTTATTACAGGCTTGGACCTTCAAAATTCAAAAGGCAATCATTCTTTTCTAGCTTCATGTTCCAAAGGAGCTATATCCTAAGGAAGTGGGTGGTCAGGCAATTCCCTTCAGACATTTGGGACAAAAACAAAGGACGGATGGGTTTCCATATGAGCATAGATTCAAAGTAAGAAGGAAAAAAAAACGCCACATGTAGCACTCTAATGTAAGCAATTGGTAGAAGAAAGGAAGCTTATGAAGGATGGTGAATAAACAGCTGGAGAAGGCAGAAGGAAATCAAAAACAACGTGTGACTAGGCAAAAGGAAACCAAAAAAGTGCCAAAGGAGAAGGTGATCAGCATTGTGAAACACTACAGGAAAGTCAAACAGGAAAAAGAATATGCTTTGTTAACAAATTTCTCCAATTCTTGGGCCTATGTCTGTCTTAAAAGCTGTTGTGTGGGGTGGAGCTGCTAACTGAAAGGTTTAAACTAGCCAGAGCTTCTTAGGAGCAAAGACACGGCTGTCCACGCCATTAAGGTTAAAAATTAGGAAATCCTATGGGGCAATTCTACTCTGTCATTTGAGCAGCAATGAAGAACAACATGTCCATCTCACTCACTACTGGATCCCCACTGTCAGCGTACTCCTTAGTACATAGTATCTATTTAGTGAATAGCTAAACGAGTAAATCATTCATTTATTCACTGAAGGTTTCTGTTTTAAAGTTATTCTCTGTGGTTTCATAATCTGGCAATAAGTTAACTCAAAAGATTAATTCTGGCTCCAAGTCTAAACTTATGTTGAAGATATAAAAAATAAGAAAAAAAAACCCAAAACAAAACACCAACCTTGGTGCTATGAATGTATATCCAGATTCTTCAAAATTATCTGGCTTCAAGGTTTCTGAATCTGCAAAGATAACATCACAGGATTAGATAAGCTATCCAGAATATATGCTCCACATTGAAAGCATTAGAAAGATTATCTAATGTGAAAAACTTTAAACAGGATAATTATATCCTAAAGTTGAAATAGAATGAATATAAAGACCCCCCATGCTTCATAATATAAGTTTTACCTTATTAACACAAATCAAATGAATCAAGTAAAGTGCTATGCGTGATTTTCCCATTTACCAACTCCAACATAATCAAAATGCCTATAATGACTTCTATCGATGGCACATCAGAGATATTTTATTTAAAAAAGCAGTTTTAGATGATCATGAATATTACAGCAAATAAATAATTTTAAGAAAACCACTAATGCTTTTAGTGAATTAATAACATATTATGTTATGAATTAGTAAGTGGAAGGATTAAAAAAAACACATCTTTAAAGAAAAAAAAATCTTGAAACAGGCGGAATATGAAAAAAAAATTCTTCTCCCCTTTTTTGGCTGCTAAGGTTTGAGCGATCATGGGGAAAAAAATCTAGCAAATGAGAAGCACAGAGGAAAATAACCAGCAGGAAAAGAAATATCAGTGGAAATGTCAAGTGTTCTAAACAGAAAGAAATTGAGCAACAAGAAAATACTTGCCCTTCATTTTGCCCTTTTTTGCTGTGAAAATCCATCAGAAAGAGAAAGCAAGGGGGGAAAAAAGAGGGTAAAGCAAAGGGGGTCACAAACTATTTTATTCAATGACTTTCTTGAATAAAAATATTGTGCATAGATAAAAGGTTCACTTATGTACAGTTGTAGTCTGGAAAGAAGACACATACTTATAGAGACTGGAAATATGTCCCATCAATTGTACTAGACTACTTTCTATATTCTGTGGTTATTTCAAAGGTCTGTTTTGTCAAGTGGCTAATGCCCATACAATACTAATGAAGTGGGCTTATAAACAAAACCATTTACAATCATCAAAACCCACGAGCTATCCCTTCAATTGTCAAGTAAAGAACTAGCTCATGCAAAATTGCTGGTTCTTAAAAGACCATCATACCTATCAAGCAAGCAAATAGAAATGTTTAACACACCAAAATGTACTATACCAATCAGTTATGGGGAGAATAAAGAAGAAGGAACTACAAAGAAATTGAAGAAATTGTAACATGCTTTTATTTAAGGTTTGATGTAAAAGTTCTGTAATTTTGTTTTGGGTTTTGTGGTTTTGTTTTCTTCATCCTCATAGGAAAACTAAGCTGTTCATTATAATTGAGCAATGCAAAAAGGATATGATGGTCATTTTACTGCACTAAGTCTAATGATCCCAAACTAAATAAAACTTAACAAAGACCTGAAATATGCACTGCTAGGATTATCCCACATTCCAAAAGATGCTTAAAAAAATAGCTAATCCTTTGAGTTTCTGAAAATAATAATTTGAATTTTAGTTAAAGTAACAAATGAAACAAAAACATGAGAAGGTTAATCGCCAAACCAAAGCCAAAGACCAGCGCAATTTCATTTACCCAAACAAAGTTGAAGAGATGAAGCACAATATTATTTCTGCCAAAAGCAAAAATAAATGACAAAAGAAAGCTTTACTTGCACAGTGCCATGAATAGACTATGTTAATAATTAGCATGGGAAAGGCTTCACACTGGCTAGCAGACCCTCAAAACAACAGCAACAGAGGACATTGCACTGCAATGATTCCATGAGCACATAGCAAGGCAGGGAAGGGTGGTGGGAGCGTCCAGTGAGACTGGAGTACCTGCTCATATTCTATCCAGGTAGAATATTTCTTGTTCCTTGCATGTTTGGAATGGGTTAGAATCATTGCTGCGGATTAGGTAATAATACCTACTGAAATGTATAAGCCTTGGGTATTCCAAAATCTAGACGTATTGAAACATCTGATACTAGGTGATAACAAATAGACCCTGAAGTTACTTTCACAGTACTTACATCTGGCCTGAGTTATTGTCTCTTCTATTTTGGCTTTTATATAGTAAAAACTGTAGGTTGGTAATACCAAGGCCAAACTGCAATAGAAACAAGAGAAGCATAAACACAAACAAACAAAAATGAAACATACTTTAAAAGAAAAAGAAAAGAAAAAAGACACATCAAATTCATGGAAAATCCAAAGATCTTCTTCACGGGAAGGAAAAGACATTACTTTGACAAAAAAGAATGCTTTCAGCAAATAAAAGGCTTCATTTGGTCTTGTCATCCAGCCTACTACATTTCAGGACATCAGAAAAGATATGTGGGGAATAAGCTAATAAATCTTCCCATATAGATTAGCTGTGGAGGAAATGTTCTGGGTACCAACTGTATTTCCAAAATGATAGAAATTTGAAAGCTAAAAACAAAACTGGGGTATGTTTAGAAAGGAAATACATCATACCCACTAGATAGTCCCTGCTTAATGTATTTAAAAGAATATAAAAATGCTTTGTAAGAGGAAAAAATTCAAATACAATAATCATTATTAATTGTGAAACTCAGTGAGGGTATCTTGTTTTTCCAGGTCTCACAAACTTTCTGTCTTTTACAGAGCAAGGCAGACTTATCCCATTTCTATCACTCTAAACTATTTGAGTTTTTCATCCTTGATAGGTTTCCACTTTACATAGGTTCTAACTTTCACAGGCTTTACTGTGTTATTTTCATTACTTTAAAAAAAGTACAGAAATTCATCTGAAGTGTATGTATCACTTTATGTGATTGAACAGTAATTATTATAAAGTGTCAATGCAGCTTCATCTGACATACTTTGGGCATGTTGCAAGGAGAGACCAGTCTTTGGAGAGGTACATCATATTTGGAAAGGTGGAGGGACAATGCAGGAGAAGACCCTGGATAAGATGGATTGACTCAGTGACTGGGGTAATGAGAGTGTGTTACAGACAGTAAGGTTGGATCAGAATAGAGCAGGGTCCAAAGCTGTTGTACACAGGGTCGCTATCAGTGGCAAGTGATTTGATGGCACATAACAACAACAACAACAACAACAACAACAACAGTATATTTAGGCAAGTTTCATAGTATATGTCAATGGGCTACAATAAGTCGGAACTGATTCCTTGACACCTGGCAACTGGAGAGCCTTTATACAAAATGCCTTTCAGCACCACTGGTTCTCACACAGTAGATTAAGGCATAATATTTATTTCAAGTTCATCTACTATGAATACTTCATATAATTTAATAGACTGTTATCAGTTTCAGCAGGAATACATCTTAAGTGCACTCGTTTACAAAAGCCAAGAGGCTACTCTAATCTTAATAGGAGATGTCCACACTGGACTCCTTAAGGCAAATTCAGGGTGTGTAGACACAACACTGTCAGAAAAGTCTGCCATCAAATGCTGTCTTGTTGAATGCTCAAAATCAAAAGGTGGTAGTTTAATCAATGTCATTCATTTTCTTATGGACAACTTACAAAATGAGCGGTATTTTATAACTAAGCAAAGATTTCAGAGCACTGCACAGTTCCTTGGTGGCCTAGTGGTAAGGAATTACACTGTCAACCCAAAGGCATGTGGTTCAAGAGAGCCAGGTGTTCCACAAGAGAATGTGGGCAATCAACTCCCATGTGGTTTACCGTCACTGAAAATCTGCTGCAGAGTCAGTCAGCTATGAGTTGGTTCTAATTAAAAGTTATATGACAAAATCAATGCACTTTCCAAGACTACAACTGCATGTGTGTGATTTCTATACTCTGACAATGGCTAATATACATGGATAGGACATGAATAATTATAATACATCTACAACTTAGTGGTAAATGACTTTGGTTCTACACTGACCATGTAAGAAAGCATGAGGAAAGAGGTACAATAAATGAGACTCTAAGATTCCCAAAGCAAAGATTTTTAAAGCAGAGATGCCTGATTAAAGTGAACAATTAAGCCAACCACCATCAATTTTTAAGATTTATCCCCGAAAGCAGAAAAGAAGTACATTGCCAAGCTTTTGCAGAGTACTTTTTTGAAGTTCCTCAGGTCTTAGGTTTTCTAGGATTTGAGGAGAGAGATTAATATTGTAATCTCATTACATATTGTTTGTGGGCTATTAAATGTAAATTCTCATATTTTCCTTTTAAAGAAGACTTAAGTTTTAAAAGCATTCACTCTGTGAAGAGGTACAAAGTGGTTAGTTGATTGGTTACTTGCACAATTTAATTTAATTTTCTAATGTGGCAAAATGAGTGGATGCTTGTTATCTCCAATTCCCAAATCTTTCTCCATCATTAAGCAATTAATAGACTTTCCTTATGTGAAAAGGTCAGAGAAATAAAATGTTATGTAGAATTAATGGAAATCTCTATATTCATTTTGTAGGTAACTTCCTTTAAATGGAGGCAGAAACTAAAAATAAGCAGTGCAATTAGTCTGAAAGAGGATGACCTTTCATGATTCACTTGCCATTTAAAAAATGGAGAGCAGAATTACTGAACATTTAAAGATTGTCTCCTACAAACTCCTCTCAAGGGAAATGAGGACATTTTTTTTTTATTGCCTCATCAGTATTTTGCTAAAAGAAACTTCTAATGAAAACTGATAATGCTGTATCACATGGCTGCTGAAGTGTCAAGCTATATGCTTGGGTTACATCTCATATACCACAAAAAATAGTGTGGGAAACCATGACGAACACAATACAACTTTTAAACCTGACATATGAAATGTATACTTTGCTGCCCTGAAACTCCCAGATTGTTATTATTAGCCTCAATTCATTTTAGAGAAAAACAATAGTTACATGTAATTTATCTCCATCTGAAGAGGCAGAGTTAGTAGTTCTTCAACAGATACATAAAGACGTCTCATTAGATAAGATCTTTACCATCTTTCACAACAATGACACTGTCATATGAAGTGCTTTTTGGCTCACTCTTTACAAAACCAAAAGACCAAGGACGGATTAGTTCTTCTAAGAAATTTGAAGTCTATTAAAGTGAGTAAAAATCAGATGGATGGTAAAAAACCCATGTAATGCTTTTTGTGACTCATGTTAAACTAGGTTAACTGAGATAAATAGAATATAATACACTTTTTAACTCAATCATTTATCTCTGTGAAACAAAACTCTTCATAAAAAAGTGAGTATTCTATTAAAATAATGACTTCAAAATATGGTGGACTAATTAAGACTTAAGAAAACAGATATCATCAGGTAATTTGCTGCCTCGGAACCTATCACTTTCTCCTTAAATTTAGAGGTAATGTTTTATGCAAAATTATTGTTTATGAATGAAACAACCTGACTCAAGGTTAGTCAGATCACTCTTTTCTCTTGAGAAGAGACAATATCAGGTGGAGACAGAGATACAAGTAGGTAGGTACAGTGGAGGTGGGATATCTCTTCTGACCACTATTATTTTTCTCAAATGAAATGGAAAGTAAAGACATTTTCTGAGAAGAAATAGGAAGGATATTGTCAAGGATTGAAGAAAGATTTATCAGGATTGAGATTTTGCAAAAACGGCTATTTATGTTTTTTATAATGGTCTGTAAGTTTATGGTATGTGCAAGAAAGTGAAAATAGTAATACCATGGAATTCAGAACAAATATAAAGAGTAGTAGGGAGCTCTGGTGGCCCAGTGGCAAGAAGCTGTTCTGCAGTTCCAAAGGCATGCAGTTCGAATCTACAATCTGCTCTGTGAGAGAAAGATGGGCAACATCCTCCTGTGCAATTAACTGCCTCTGAAAACCTGCCAGAGGGTCGGCTATGGCTCAGTTCCAACTCATTGATACATAACAACATTAAAGAGTAATGTTGTTAAGTGCCTTCAAGTAGGCAACTCATAGTGACCCTATGAATGAAAGTCCTGGACACCTGTTATAAGTTTTGTCGTTTCTCCAGGTTCATAGGGTTTCCAGAGGCAAGCTATTTGTGGAAGTGGATGCCATTCCTGCTTCCAAGCTTGTTTTAATCAGGGAGCTCCACCAAACACTGTCCACTGTGGGTAAATGTTATCGCATTTGACACATCAGTGTCATAGTGTTCGGCTTTCCAGCAACCATGAGTTACCTCTAGACAGTAAGTGGACATACCAGGGTTACGCGACCTAGAAGAGTGTTTCACCAAAAACAACTAAAGGCAAGCCTGAGGGCCGTGGAGTAGAGTCACCCACCTTTGGTTTGGGAGCATGGCTTTCTGTCTGCTAGGCCAAGTACGCGCTCTCTCTCTCTCTCTCTCTCCCTCCCCCCTGTTGTTATTGTTAAGTGCCATTGAGTGGTAAGCAACTCCTAGCGACCCTATGAATGAAAGACCTGGAAATCTGTATAATTTTCATCATTTCTCCAGGTTCATAGGGTTTCCAGAGGCAAGCTACTGTGGAAGTGGATGCCACTCCTGCTTCCAAGCTTGTTTCAATCGGGGAGCTCCATCAAACAGGGCAGTGAAAAGGTTGAATAGTTGATGGTTTTCAGGTTTCAATTTATTCAAAGGATTGTTACAATTGGGATACTAGACAGAGGGGCTAGAAAGCAAAACCATGGAAATCCAAAAATTGGATGGGTAAACTAAATCATGAAGGAGTTATAGTTCTGGCATAGTAAGAGTTTGAGAAGGTGACAGTGAAGTAAGTAGCAAAGGTAGGAAAATTATAAGATCAGTAGAAGGGATCATCACTTAGTATCTCACTGCCTTTGAGTCAGAACTGACTCAGAGCCGATCTTCCAGCAGGTTCTCACAGTCTTTAAATTGCATAGCAGATGATTTCTCATCCTTCCCTGGCAAAACAAATGGTGGACTCAAACTGCTTGACTTTGAGTTGGCAGCACAACTCTTAAAAAGTCCAGGTGCAGGAACACTATCTCTGCCTCTTCTAAAAGAGTGGTAATGGACCTGGCCCATTTGCAAACTGTTGTCATTTAATCACAGAGACTAAGGAAAAAAACAAAAACAAAAAATGAACCAAAATCACCATTAAATTAAATCTGTAGCAATTCATCTCTGTGAAAGATAACAAAAATGTTAACTCTGTATTTTCTATCTTGCTAAAAATCTATTTTAATACATATTTTAATTTTCTTTTTCCTAATTATGGGATTTTAATAAAAAAAATTGAGAAACTGGAAAATGTGAAGGAAGGAGAGAGTGATGGGGGTCAGGAGTTGAAATCTGACAGGAATACAAGGGATGTGAATGCTAAAATAGAGGAGGAATGGGAGATGTTCCTGTGACATGGAATTCAAAGTTAGGGTGGGGAAAAGAAAAAGCAAGAATGTATCCTCACAAAATAAACTAAAATAAAATATGTATTATGAGGATGTGGTACGCAAGACCACTATCAAGGCGTGTCCTGAATGACAGTAAGAAAGTAAATTCTCTGCGAATGTTGAAGAACAGAAGTTTTCAGGGTTTTAATAAATATTTTTCTACCTAATTTTAAAACCTCAGTAAGTGAGAAGCAGCAGAAAATTACAGAGCTGACATTCTGTAAGAATAAATTATATCAGTTGGGCTTTTAAAACCAATTTTATAAAAATGCACTAAATTTTCTTCTTAAAGTTCATTTGCAAACTAAATAAAAATATGTATTGTGAAATAAATTATAACTTAGAAGAGGACATTAGCATTATTACTGAAATTCTGTTAACACTTATCATTCCTAACATAAATATACAAAATATCAGACATGGTCATGCCACATGTGTTTTAATTTCTAAATTTCACAGTATGAATTTTTATTTTCCATCAGCTCACTTACAATCTTGAAAATCAGAATCTGCAACTTCTGTAATTTTGTATTTTTCAAAGTTTAACATTTCTAAAGTAATCACATTTATAACAGCTTATGAGAATACAAAGAATCACTATTAGTTCTACTAAAAATAGAGGGAAGATTGAACTGAAGCACTCGTTGATACACACACAGGTATATATATAATCAATTACCTGTAATCTGTGCCATTGACAGGTGTCCATGTATATGTTCTGTTTCCTTTGTCAATGTACCTCTAGAAAAATCATTTGACATTGTTATTATCATCGTATGTTCTTTATGGATTTAGATGAAGAAAAGAGCATGATAATGTGTTTCCAAATCATCTGGTCATTCAAGAGTCTTTTTTATAACGGTATGCCTTTATCTAAGCTACATGCTAAACTCTTCTTAAAGCAAAATGTTTAGATCAATGTATACATAGGATAATGAAATGTAGGACTGTATAATCTTAATAATTTATAATAAATATTTAACCTCAAAATTTGGAAACATTATTTTCTAAAAAAGAAATTTTAATAACAAATTAGAATAAAATTATTAGACACTCAAATTCACATTGCCGTCGAGTTAAAACCAACTCATAGCTGACTTTTCATTACTTTTTGAGATTGCAAATCACATTGGAGGAGATAGCCTACCTTTCTTCCAAGGATGCACTAGGACATTCAAAGCCAGAGAAATGTAGCTTTAAGTATCAGCATAACTCCTGACAGACTATGTTACCAGAGCTCCCTTAATGTTACACAAGGTTAACACAGTACTGTATTAGATGTTGTTTACAAGGAAGTGTTAGTATTAAGATATTCATAAAGTGTGTCTGAATGCAAATGTATGATTAGAATATTGCTGTTCTTCTTAAACCAGGAAGGAACTCTGGTAGCATAGTGTATACTGGTATACACCAGCTGCTCTGCAGAAGAACAATGGCCAGTCTCCTCTAATAAAAATTCACAGCCCAGAAACCTTAAGAGGGTAGCTGTGAACCACAATCAATTCAGTGGCTCTAGGTTTGGGAGCTGTTCATTCGACTTAATTTACTCCATCATTCAAAGTTAAATTCAACCACGAAAACAGCAGTTAATTAATTTCAGGATCTAGAAATCTTTTCTTGTAAAATTATTTGGGCTATAGGAATTTTATGGATTGAGAAACCTTTAATTTTAGTTGTTGAACAACGGTAAAAAAATTTCATTCTTTCTCATTAGGTGTGTTTTCTCATCATTCTAAAAGTTAGAAGTATTGACCAGAATTGTCTGGTGATTCCCTTGTAAGTCTTAAAAAAGAAACTCTTTTGTAATAATATAAAAGCATTCAAGTTACAGCCAAGAGACAATTCATGGGGCTTATATTTTAAATACAAATAAATTTTAGAGTTCAACAAATCAGGTTTAGTTGAACATAAATTTACACAGATTTGCTTAAAGTTTATTTTAAATTGATATTGGTTTTAACATTGATATTCATAACAAGAGTATAGTAAGAATTTTTATAACTATATTAAATATTGATTACATATATGTGTGTGTGTATAATTATTTTCCCCTGTGGAACAGGAGATTTCTGAATGATGTGACCATGAAAAAAATGGTGACAAATTAATGGAGGATAAACTTTGGTTAAAATGTTTTCAATGAATTAGTTATGGAGAGAGGCTATACAAGAAACATTTCATAAGTAAGTGAATTAAAATTCAATGTAGCTCATTTTTCCACATACTGTGAAATATGCTAACATTGCAGTTTCCTTTTTCATACACATGGAAAATGGTGTGAATAAATGCTACATTGAATCCTAGAACAAAAGATAATGAAATTCAAAGGCAAAATAGAATCCAGCTACTTTCCATGAAAGTAAATATTTTAATTTGATTAACAGAAAAACCAGTGCCTAATACCAA